TGTCCTTCCGCAGAAATCCCTTGCCACAGGTATCGCACACGTAAGAAGCGTTCTCGAAGTGGATCCTGGCGTGGCGCTGCATGTCGCGGTACCAGGAGAATGTCTTTCCGCACACCTCACATGCGTGGCGACCATCATTGGTCATCGCCTGGCTTTTCGCTGGACCAGGTGGACGTCCTCGACGGCGCTTAACGGGCGATGGTTCAGATGGCTTACATCTAGGAGGTAAAAACACGATTAGGTTTTGGAATACTGTTGCACTTCACTTACTCTTCATTTTCGCTTTCCACTGGCTGCTTTACTTTTCGAGAGCTTCGACGCAGATGATAGGACTTCTTTCCCACTTGATCTCTTTAAGGGAAACTAATGTCGTACTGGTAAGCATTTAACTATGGAGTACACTTACTCATCACTTTCCGCCCCAGCACAGAATTCCTGATCGCTGCCACTCTCAGGCCGCCACTTAAGTTCCAAAGCGGCCGTTTCGGTGGCGTCCACATCCACTCCGGACTTGTTGTTGCCATCGTCGAGGTCTACTTCCGTTTTTATGTTCTGCTCTGCGGGAATATCAATGGGCATTTCATCTAGACACTCCCTTAGCCGAGCCAGCAGCTCTCCATTGACTTTTTTGGCCTGCTGCACAAAGGCGTAGGCACTTTCCATTCTCGTCCAGCACTCGGTGCATAGATGTTGCGGCAGGTTATCATCGGAGCTCTCCAGCTGGGTGTAAGGATCAGGATTGTGACAAGGTTTAGGACTCACATAGGTTAACTCACATCGATTTGCGTCAATTCCTGGAGCACCGCATAGTAGCTTTTGGAGGCGTCTCTGTCCAGGCAAGTGGACAAGGGCAGCAATCGGTTGTTCTGCACCGCACAGGTGCGGCAAATATCCGACGGAAGCATTTTAGACGTCGTGAGCTCACTTAGCTCATGCTTTTCAACCAGGATGCTAATGAAAACCACTGAAAAACAAATTTAAACTTATAAATGCAACAAGAGCCTTTTTGAGTGTGACCGTTGCATGCGAACAGCTGTTTTGCAATGCAAGCCGTGTTTTCCAGCACTACTCACTCAGCTGTTTTTATCAGTTGGCAGAACAGACACTTTTGGCTATTTGAACTTTTTAGCAAAAAGTTAAATAAATGCGTTAGGAGATGACCAGGACGTGCAGAGTATGTGGCTGCGACGACGGACGCTACTGGATTGAAACGCCCGTGGAGAAGTACGCGGAGAAGACCTTCGTCCAGCTGCTGGTCGAGCTAACGCGAATCGAGGTGGGTCAATTGTCCTTTTGTCATCCAATTGGTGCCCGCATCTATGCTAATTCACTTTAAATGATACTAAAAGGTGGTCATGGCGCAAGCTGAGAAGTTCCCGCAGTGGCTGTGCAACGCGTGTGCCGAGCAGCTGGAGAACACCTACGATTTTGTACTGCAGGCACGCCAAACTCACGAGCTGTGGTTGCGGAAAATCGGAGATTCCATGAATGGCGATGATGAGATGGAGGGCATTGGGGCCTTGGAGTGCCTGCGCGAGACACCCATTCACCTATTCGAAATAGAGGGTGTGACCATCAAGACGGAGGAACTGACTCCAACGCCACAGGCGCCGAAGGTAGATCCTTTAGTGCGGCCGCGCATCGTCAAACGGAGCATTGTACACTTTAGCGATTCAGATGACGACCTGGATGATGTGCCTCTGCGTCAGCGTAAGATGGCCGCCTCGGTCTGCGGCTCTGACACCCCGAAGCAAAATGTTTGCGAGCTGTGCAACAAGGCCTTCAGATATGTCACCAATCTGTATCGCCACAGGCAGAGGGACCACGGAATTCTGGGCAAAAACGGAGAAGAGTAGGATACAACTCTATGCTACCTAGATTGCCATATAAAAGTTACATGTTTTCTCTTCATAGCTTTGAAGAAGACTATTACAAGTGCGATCTGTGCGACAAGACCTACAAATACGTTATGGCGCTGGTGAAACACAAACACAACGAGCATGGAACCAGTCTTCTGCCCACGAAGATGTCCAGGCGAAAGATGCCCGGAAGACCGTCAACTTTGCCCGAAGATGCCAGTCCATCCAGTCCAGCATCCACTTCTGAAACAAGCACTCATCGAAGCAGAACCAACAACGACACCCTGGTACATAGCATCATCAAGACAGTGGAGTGAGTTTATTTGTCATTATTCACTATGCGGGTGCATAAGTCCGGGACGGAAATCTTTTGTACCGCAGAATGTGTCTAATAATTACCACCTGCCCGCTTACTTACTAGTCCATTTACTGAATTGACATTTGTACAATTATTTCTTCCAGACTATCAGATGAGGATGGCCACAGTGGTGAAGATAGCTACTACAAGTGCGATCAGTGCAGTAAATCCTACAAGTACATAATCAGCTTGATCAAGCACAAGCACAAGGAGCACTTAGACAGGCAGTCAGACAATGATGATGAGGACGATCGCCCACTGGCCTCCACATCCGCCTCAGCAAGAGCATCAGCCGCGAAGCCGTCTAGAATCAACCGACGAGTCGACGGGTTCGACTTTCACCGCAGCGAGCCAAATGGAGCCAAGGAAATCAAGTGCATGATATGCTTGCGACGGTTTACAAAACTGCGGGAGCTTAGGAATCATCTACAGAATCATCCCACTGATTTCGACTTCGAGGCGCATGGCGAACCCATCGAGCGCATTGCGGAAGGATTTTTCAAAACAGCCGTTGAGTCCACGGCAGAGGGCTTAAAGCGTCGAATATTTAGGGATCTCAGGATGGGCGTGTATGGTCGCTACTACTCCATCACAAATCAGGCTCGTTATGAAATGACCCTAGATAGTTCGGATACAGACAGTGATGGTGATGGTGATGACGATGTCGTTATCCGACGAAGTTATTCCTGCGAACTGTGCGACTCCCCGGAGGCCAGATGGCCGCGCAAGTACCTGCTACACCAGCACCATCAGAAGGAGCACACCTGGCTGGACGCCCCTCATGTCTGCCAGCGCTGCGACTCGCGGTTCCTCAATCTCCAGCTCCTGGAGCACCACACCAGCCAATTGTGCCAAAACACTTTGAAGCGCTTCATGTGCGACAAGTGCCCTCAGCGATTCTTTTGGCGTCGCAATCTGCGCGCACATCTTGTCGAGCACAAGAGCAAGGTGAGGGAATCAGTAGATTGGCAGTTATTTACATAACTTACATAGATAACATGCATTCATTTTAATTTATTTTGTACATAATTTATTTCTTTGTTAAACGATATACATATATTAAAGTTTTGTTAAACGAAATCTGTAGCATCGAAAGCCCATAAGTTTAGCGGATTAAAACTATTTTACTCTTCTGAATTATTTCAGCAAGAATCGTATCCGTGCGACCAGTGCTCTCGGAGCTTCCAAGACAAGAGCGCTGTGACCAAACATAAACTTATGATGCATCGGGAAAGTGACATGCAGCTCCTACCCTGCCGCTGGTGCACCCGTACCTTCTACCGTCCTGCCCTGCTGCACAAGCATTTACAAAGACACGGATTCACTGGCCAGGACCTACCTCTGGCTGAAACCTTGCTAGCGGATGCATCGAAACCGGCGGGTCCCAAAAGCGTTCAGTGCAAGATTTGTGACATCCAGTTTGTCAGCGTGGCGGACTTGCGAAGGCACATATCTATGCAGGGCCACAGCGATCAACCTTCCGCATACATGATCAGCACAGCAACTGGCTTTGAGCTCCTGCTGGACGATACGGACGACAGTGATGAGGAAACAGCGGACAGGAGCTACGCTTGCGACCTTTGTGATCTGAACTTCCGGCGCCGGCGGGAGATGAGTGAGCACCAGTACTCACTTCACAGCTTTGACAAACTGCCACATAACTGCGAGCACTGCATTTTCAAGACGGTCGATAAGGTAAATGTCCTATTTATTTCATTCTGCGATATGTGTTTAATTCGTTTGCTTTCATCTATTCTCAGAACATGCTGGATCAGCATCTTCGCACACAATGTATGAACACAGAGAAGAAGTTTGTTTGCACGCGCTGTGGATACAAGTTCATGTGGGAGGAGAACTTGGCCCAGCACCTTGCCACCCAGCATTCCAAGCAACCCGCCGTTCCGGAACAGCAGCCACCGGTGAGGAGGAAGAGGCGCTTCCGCTACCAGTGCCCCCATTGCTGGCGTTCCTTTGTCGTTCAGCCCAGCCTGGATAAGCACATTCGGGACATGCACGTGGCCAAGAAAAATCCAGGAAAAAAGTATCTCTGCTCGCTGTGCGGCCTGGAGTCGCTGACCCCCAACAAACTTAGCATCCATATGCGGCGTCACATGGGCGAGAAGCCCTTCAAGTGCGATCTCTGCGACATGCGCTTTACGGTCCACTACGAGCTGAAGGTGCACCGCCGGAAGCACACTGGCGAGCGGCCCTACCAATGCACCTTCTGCGCCAAGGACTTCGCACGACCAGACAAGCTAAGGCGGCACGTCTTCATGCACAACGCCAAGCCGTAGAATCATGAGTTTTGAGACTAACTTTATATAATGATATTATAAGGCATAATGTAGATTGATTTTATTTAAATGTAATTCTTTTAACAAGGAATTTTATATTCATCAGCCAAACAATTTTTAAAATATTGTATATAATCTAAGTATAAGAATGCTTCAAAGCTGGAGGATTTTTGCTTTGCTGATTCAACGCCAAAGAGGGAATTGTGTGGATAATAAGTGGATAAATTAGCATTATTTAAATATCTTAATATTTATTTCAAGTAAGATCTCTTAACTAAGTGTATTCAATATACAAGGAATTAGAAACATGTATAAAGTGTGAACCAAAAACAATCATCTAATCGAGATAATAAGCAATTCGAATTCCAAATGCATTTCACTCTCTTAAAAGTATAGAAGCTTTCAAGAAAGTATGACGTCACAGAACTCAACAGATATTATTCAAGCTTTATTTAGCGAACATTTTTTGATCCAGTAACTATTTGGACGGCAATAATAGCACAAGTGAGCGCATCTAAGCAAAGGCAAAATGGCAGACCAACCAACTCCAAAGTGGGTGACCAAAGAGCTATTCAGCAGCTTGTTGGAACAGGGTAATCAAAATTTCAAGGCTATAGTTAAATATGTTCCAACATCGGCGATTAGCAAAGGGGAAAACTATTTGACGATCGTGCTGCGCATACAAATTGAAATGCAGCTGAAAGGTGAGCTAAAAAAAAACTTCAAAAATATCTCTTCAAATGATGCACGACAATATTCAGATGATAGCTTAGAAGATATCAGCTACATACTTAAGATTCCTTTGGTACCGGAAGATCAGGAAAACGACTTCCATGACATGTTCGATGCCGAACAGGACATGTACGATAATCTGATCCCAGAATTGGAAAACCTTTATGCCCAGAATACTTCCATCTCACCGAAATTCAAGCCTGTGCATTTGAGGTTTCCTGGTGAGCCAGTGAAAAGCGACTACATTCTGTTGGAGGATCTGCGAGTGAAGGGATATAGGAATGCCGACAGGACCCAGGGATTGGAGCAGTTTGAAGTGGAGGCGGCCCTCAAGAAGTTGGCCCAGTGGCATGCAGCCTCTGCAAAAAGAGTAGTGGAGCTGGGGGAATACGATAGGGACATCCGAGAGAGTTACTTTACTACTGAGCACCAGAAACTGCTCGATGAATTCAACGTTAATTTTTGTATGCCCTTCCTGGAGTGTATGCAGCAATATAATCTGGAGCCCGGACAGCTGGTCCTCATAGTGAGATTACTTTATATCAGTTTATATACGCTGTAATCATTTCTATTCAGAGCGACTACACATCCCAATTGACGGATCTGAACATCGAGTTTGGTAAGAACGATCCTCTGGAGTTGAGTGTGTTAAACCACGGGGATTTTTGGTGCAACAACTTTATGTTCAAGTACAGGAACGCCTCAGAGGTGGAGGACGTTTGCTTTGTCGACTTCCAACTCCCAAAATATGGTAACCAAAAGATCAGCTCAAAAAGATGCCTTTCCTATGATAATACTCCCTTCCAGGCACACCCGCCCAAGATCTTCTGTGCATGCTGATGACCTCGCCGAAGTTTTCGATCAAGCTGGAAAAGTTTGACTATTTCATAGGGTATTATCACCAGCAGCTAGTCGAGCACCTCGCCATGCTCAATTACAATCGGAATGCACCGACACTGGCGCAGTTCCACGCCCATCTACACCGATACAGTCTCTGGGGTAAGGTCGCTATCCGAAGCTCTGCCTCAGAGGGGTTCCAAGATGAAATCTCAACTACTTGCAGCTTTCATTTGCGCCCAACGAATGCTTCCCATTGTTCTGCTCCCGCCCGATGTTGGTTCCCATATCGGCAATATAATGGGCAACTCGGAGGAGGCGACCGCCTTCAAGCGCAAGATGTTCCTGCTGCCGGCCTACGTGGATCAGATAAAAGTCATTTTGCCATGGCTCATCAGCCGGGGTTACATAAGGTAGACGCGGTGCAATGATAAACAGGTTTCGGGAGAACGTATGGTGCAGTAAAACTATTGTATTTTATTAGCACAAGCAACTTGTTCACAAAATAGCTCAAAATGCTATGCACTTCGAGATGTAAGTAAATGAGCTCATAGGAGAGCTTTTTATCAATAAATGTGTATAGTCTTACGAATGATTATTTTCCATTTATGGCTTAATTTCAAGAATTACAGCGAAATTTCACACTGTACAATAAACAAAGGCAAAACGCTCTTTCAACTGCCGAAATATTTAAAATGCTATTACAGAGCTTTTGAGAAAAGATCGAGAGAAAAAAGCCGTGCACCACGAAATTAGAAAGCTCCACTGATATGTGAATCTAATACTCAGTTTTCATCAGTCTACGCAAGACCGTCAAACTGGACGTAACGTGTTTTTTCGATTAGAAACGGAATAGTAATCCCGATTATCTACAATGGCGGCTGGCAAAATACCCGATTGGGTCACCGCTGAACTTTTTGAAGATGTGCTCAAATCGAATGTGGACGGGTACGCGAAAGTGCGTAATTTCAAGCCGGAAATTGGATCCGCGGCAGGTGACAACTACGCCACTATTATGTTGCGAGTAAAGATCGAAGTGGAGCTTCAGGGTGAGTTGGGTGGCGGACTGGCGTGGAGCACTGTTGAAATCGAATTCCTGCCTTCCAGATGGCACCACCAAAGAGGTGTCGTATATGGTCAAGCTGCCACATCAGCAGGAGATCTACAAGGAAATGATGAAGCACACCGACATCTTCGAAATCGAGCGCACCATGTACAACCAGGTGGTTCCGGAGATGGAGGCTCTTTATAAGGCGGCCGGAGTGGAGGTCACGTTTGGAGCCAAGAGCTACGAGCTGAAAAATGCCCAAACCGAATACATAGCTCTGGAGGATCTGTGCATCAAGGGATTTAAGAACGCCAATCGCCTCGAGGGCCTCGACCAAGCGCACTCGGAGCGGGTTCTCCGGAAGTTGGCCCAGTGGCATGCTGCAACGGCCGTAAGGGTGGCCACCAAGGGGCAGTATCCGGAAATCGTGCTGAGGGGATTCTTCAAGGAGGAAAACAGGCCGATGATGAACGACATGATGGACGGCATGGGAAAGGTGTTTCTCAAATGCTGTGCCACCTACGATGGTAACGAGGCGTACATCGAACAAGTCGTAAGTTTTTTCCGGAACTATGTTATAAAAATTAAGTTTACGGCCGTTCTTTTATCGAATCACACTAGAAAGCTATTAAGCCCGTGGTGATAGACGAGTTGTTCAAGATGTGCGTAGTGGATCCAACAGAGTTCAATGCCCTGAACCACGGCGATACATGGTCCAACAACATTATGTTCCAGTACGATGAGTCTGGCACAATCAAGGAGGTCTACATGGTCGACTTTCAGGTCTCGAAGTACGGCACTGTTGCTCAGGACCTGTTTTACTTTCTGATTTCGTCCACAAAGCTGGAGGACAAGCTGAGCAAATTCGATTACTACGTTAAGGTGTACCATGATAACCTAGTGGAGCACCTGAAAATCCTTAAATATTCCAAACCATTGCCAAGCCTGCGAGACATCCATAAGTCCCTGTTCAAGTACGGAACTTTTGGTATGCATATCTGAGACGAATTATGGAATATATTCAATACATGTATCCATTATTTTTCAGCATACTCCGTGGCCACAGGTGTAATGGCAGCCGTTCTCTTGGATCCAACTGAAAACGCCAGTTTGGAGAACTTCGTTGGCGATTCCGCTGAGGGTGTGGACTTCCAGATGAAAATGTACAATAATCCCCGCTATCGGAAGCACATACAGGTCATCCTGCCCTGGCTGCTCAATCGCGGTGCCCTGGACGTCAATTAGAATAACAATGGTTCCATCATAAGGAGCTCTTTTTCCCGCTAACTAAACTTGGTGCAGCCTTAAAGTATTGTGAATGTATTAAAATGAAAAGAATATATGTAAGTTCTTCAAATAGTTAAACTGCACTTAAAATTGATTTTAGAAGGCTTATCTTAAAGGCCGTAGTGTTAATGGCTGCAAACATGATTACTGATATATTTCTGCGATAAGATCTTTAGTTGCGAGCGGGAATACTACAACAAATTTGGTCAGCCATTGATCCAAGGTTGGCGTTCGATGTGATTTGAGCTTCTGATCTCTAAGATATGACCAATTCATCTGGTCATCGCCCAGGAACATTGCTATATTAGTGATATATAGCTGGAGTCATGTACATATATGATACATGTTTATGTGCTCACTACGACCCAAAGTTAAATAGTCAAAAACTTGTCCGATAGATAATTAATGCAAGTTTTCTCACAAAAGCTTGTACGGCAGACTGAAAAGCCCACTTGTTCTACGAACTGAATTATGAAAGCTCCCCCAAAGATATAAAACTATTGATCCTCCCTGCCTGTCCGCAGTGCACTAACTGTAGAGCAACGAGGCGTATACTTGTTTTCCGCTTCTGTGAACAAAGCAACTACTATCTACAATGGCGGCAAGCAAAATCCCCGATTGGGTAACTGCAGAAATATTTGAGGATTTGCTCAAGGCAAGTGTGAACGGATACTCAAAAGTCAAGAACTTTAAGGCGGACATTGGATCTGCTGCAGGTGAAAATTATGCCACCATTATGCTTCGAGTCAAAATCGAGGTTGAGCTGCAGGGTAAGTAACTGGGGGTAATCCAAGTCCAAGGAAACTGTCTCATGTGCCAACCCTAGATGGCAAATCGAAATCGGTATCCTACATGGTTAAGTTGCCCCACCAACTGGAAATTTATCAGGAGATGATGAAACGAAACAACATCTTCGACATCGAGCGCACCATGTACAACGAGGTCGTTCCGGAACTGGAGGCCATTTACAAAGCAGCGGGAGTGGACATCAGTTTCGGCGCCAAAAGTTACGATCTCAAAAACGCCAAAACCGACTACGTGGCCCTGGAGGATTTGGCACAGAAGGGATTCAAGAACGCCAACCGCCTCGAGGGACTGGATCAAACGCACACGGAGAGAGTGCTGCGGAAGCTATCCCAATGGCATGCTGCATCCGCCGTGCGTGTGGCCACCAGAGGACCATATTCCGATATGCTGCTACATGGCTTCTTCAAGGAGGAGAGCAGGCCCATGATGACTGAAATGCTGAAGGGAATGGTCGCGAACTTCGTCAAAAGCTGTGCCACCTACGATGGTCACGAGCTCTACTTGGACAAAGTCGTAAGTAGTAAATACTGCAATCCAATACGTCGCGTAAAACTTTTAATTGTTCCTTCTATCAGAAAGCGCTGCAACCTGTTGCTATCGATAAGATTTTTGAGTTGGCCAAGGTCGAGCCAACGGAATTTAATGTTCTGAACCACGGCGATTCCTGGTCGAACAACATTATGTTCCAGTACGATGCCTTCGGAAAGATCAAGGAGGTGTATTTGGTCGACTACCAGCTTCCCAAGTACGGCAGCGTGGCACAGGATCTGCTCTACTTCTTGATCTCCTCCACAAAGCTGGAAGATAAGGTGGCCAAATTCGATTATTATATTAAGTTTTACCACGACAATCTGGTGGAACACCTGAAGCTACTGAACTACTCAAAGCCCATACCCAGCCTTCGGGAAATTCATGTGGCGCTCTTCAAGTTCGGATATTTCGGTAAGCTTTTGATTGAGTGCTAAAATAAATTCGGGGATAATAATGTTTCCTTGCCCAGGCTATTCGGTCGCCACTGGTGTAATGGCCGCTGTTCTTCTGGAACCCACGGACACTGCCAGTTTCGAGAACTTTGTCGGTGACAGTGATGCCGGCATGGACTTCCAGATGCAGCTCTACAATAGTCCCCGGTACCGCAAACACATCCAAGTCGTTATGCCCTGGCTGTTGAATCGTGGCGCCTTGGAGCTCTAGAGCCGCCAACAAATTGGTTTCCATTTTTCACAATAAACAATCGACATTGAGTCAGAACAATGTGGGCCACTATGAAAGCTATCAGTATCTGTGTGCGATAATGCCAACGTGTTTTCATAGGCGTAGAACTTGCAAAGATAAAGGACTTTAGGCATTTGACCAAGATCACAATGAGTTGAACATTTTTGGAGGGAATGTGGGTATGATAATGATACCGATTACTAAAAATGACTCATTGACTGAACGCGTCACACGAATTCAAATCGATGGCATCTACATTTTTTAACTATTAGTAATAAAATTAATACTTACTTTTATCAAGAAGTTGATTAATAGTCAGTATAAAGAGCAGTACTACAGGGCCCAAGTCCATTTATGCTCGCAAGAGCAGTGAAGCAAAACAAACAATAAATTTGAATTCGTGGCCATTATATTTGTATACTGAGGAAACATCTTTTTGGGCATCAACAGACAAGCGTAACAAAACAAAGCCAATGAAGACAACTCTCTTCTGATATCAGAAAAGCTATCTGCTCGGTTCGGAAGAGCAAACTACAGAACCAAATCGCATTTCCCAAAGAATTCATGTGAACAGGGTAGCAAAACAAAACTGAAATAAAAGCCATATAGCTTATCTCTACTAAAATGTTCTAGCTACTTATCTAACTTGATTATATGGCTTACTTACACAGAGAAATTAGTTTGCATGTGGTAGTTTTATACACAAACTTTAGTGCCAATTCACTATGATGAGTTTGCTTAGGCAAGGCACGTAATACGTAGTGCTATAGTGTAACAGAAACTGTAGTGTTCTCTGAATTTTTTTTAAGAATTATATATTCTAATAAGAGTTTATGGGATGGTCACCGACAAGTTTTTTCTGATTAAACTTGCAATGTCATTTTCCAATTACAACTGTCTGTGCGGATCAAGATAACGATTATCTCACTCGGCTCGAACGGAAAGCAACCCTATTTAAATGCAGAGACTTGCAGCGCAAGATCTCAGTACGTGCGATCAAGTGAAGTAGAAATATTTCAAAAATGCCACCTCAAACAAAGGATGAAAATGTGGTCGAGAGGGAGGTGCCAATTCCGGCCTGGGTGAAAACAGAGGCCTTTGAGGACCTGCTCAAGGATAATGTCAAGGATTATGAGAGGACGACGGCCCTGAGGGCCAAAGCTGGAGTTGCTGCTGGCGAAAACTATGCCACCATAATGCTGAGACTGGAACTGGATGTGGAGACAAAGGGTAGGTTCAATTTGCCTACAACGATTTCAGAGTAAAGCTAAGGAAACCATCATTTCAGACAAATCGCAAGTAACCAAAGCATTCATGCTGAAAACTCCCCACGACACGGACGCATATCGCAAGCTTCTCGCAGAAACAAACATCTTCGATGTGGAGCGCGGAATGTATGTGGAAGTGGTTCCCGAGATGGAGCAAATGTACCGAGATGCGGGCTTGGAGGTCCAGTTTGGGGCTGAGGCCTACGAAATAAAGGTTAGCGAGAACTATGTTCTGTTGGAGGATCTCAGGCCGCGAGGATTCAGAAATGTGGATCGCCTGCAGGGATTGGATCAGGCCCACACCGAAAGTGTCCTGAGGAAGTTCGCCCAATGGCATGCTGCATCCGCAGTTCGCGTGGACCTCAAAGGACCTTACGACGCCAAGTATACGAGTGGGTTCTTCAAATCGGAAGAAATCAGGAATTTTTTCTGCGATCGCGGCGTTAACGTTTTGCTGGAACATATTGATCAGTACGAAGGACATGCGAATTACATAAAGGATTTGGTGAGTAACTCAGTGTGCAAATATCAGAACTGCGTTCTAATCTCCTGGTCTCTACAGCACAGTGTCTCGAAAAAGTTATTTGATGTATACAACGACATAAAGGAAGTCAAGTCCGACGACTTCAATGCCCTCAACCATGGCGATGGTTGGTCCAACAACATAATGTTCCAGTACAACGACAAAAACGAGTTATCAAATACCTATTTTGTTGACCTTCAACTGCCAAAATGGGGATCAGTTGCGCAGGATCTGTATTACTTCTTGCTCTCCTCGACTAAGCTGGACATTAAAACGCAGAAATTCGACTATTTCATTTGGTTCTACCACGCAGAGTTGGTGAAGCACCTAAAACTTTTGAAGTACTCAAAGAAACTGCCAACCTTAAGGAGCATTCGCCATGATCTTAACAAGTACAGTGGATGGGGTAAGTCAGGGTAGTTAACTATTAGAAATCTTCTGATGAATATACATTCTTTGTAGCCTTCATCTGCTCTGTATCCGTGATGGGAGTCGTCCTGCTGGACCCTACAGATGATGCTGACTTCGATAAAATTATTTCAAATGAGCATTCCAGCTTTATAAAGTCCATCTACACCAATCCCAGATACCGCGGACACATGGAAGTTGTCCTGCCCTGGCTGCACCATCGAGGTGCCCTGGAGTAAAGTATCAAATGCGCTCTTAGAAACAATCAATGTGCTCTGATCATTTAAACTTGCAAATAAATTATGACAAGTTTTTTAACCCAACACAAGGGACTTGTAGACATTACGGATTTTTCCTATCTAACTCTAACTTTGTTTTGCATTAAGATGGATTTCGAGTAACAGAAGCTTGAATGCTAGAAATGTGCCAAGATTTTGAATTGAATATCTCAAAATGACGCAATAAGTATTTGCAGGTGCATACTTGATTTAATCACAAAAAATCCTAGTAACATCATATATACAAACATTTTGATCTTACTTTGCACTTAAATACAAATATTCCGCCAACCAATATCGCAGAAACTGCGATCTCATCATGAGAATTTAATTCCGGACGCACCTCTCTAGCCAAGTTATTTCTCACAAATTAATATAAAACAGTTGACTGATTGTTGGGTAAGAGATAAGGTTTATCGCTGACATGAAAATTAATTTCTCCCGACAGTATTTAAGAGATTCGCCGAGTTGTCTAATCTTCCAGTTAGTGCGCCCAAGTCGAACAGCTTATTACAAAATGCCTCCCCAGACGAAGGATGAAGAGGTTACCGAAAGGCAGGTCGCCATTCCGGATTGGGTTGAGCCAAAAGTCTTTGAGGATCTGCTCAAAAGGAAGGTCAAGGATTATAGGAAGACCAAATCCATGAGGGCTAAGGCAGGAGTCGCTGCTGGCGAGAACTATGCCACCGTAATGCTAAGAATTGAACTGGACGTTGAGAAAGAAGGTGCGTATTTATTCGTTTAATTGGACGTGTATAAGTTTGGCTAAAATTTGCAAATTAAATAAACCTTTTAATAATTATACACTGCCCGCCCAGATAACACTCAAACAACCGAGGCGTTCATGCTTAAAACTCCCCACCAGTCAGAGCTGTATCGCAAACTAGTAGAAAAGACAGATATCTTCGATGTGGAGCGTGGCATGTATCTGGAAGTAGTGCCCGAACTGGAGCAACTGTATCGCGATGTGGGCTTGGAGGTCAAGTTTGGAGCAGAACTCTACGAGATAGAGGCCGGCGACTACTATGTCCTGCTGGAGGACCTCCGACCACGTGGCTTCAGGAACATAGACCGCCTGGAAGGCATGGACCAGGCTCACACCGAATCTGTGCTCAAGAAGTTTGCCCAGTGGCATGCAGCATCTGCAGTCCGATTCGAAACCAAGGGCCCGTATCAGGAGAAGTACACGAAGGGTTTTTTAAAGAACGAGGACATCGTAGAAGCGTTCTTCAACCGGAGTATAAAAGTTTTTCTGGAAAACGTCCATCTGTGCAAAGATTCAGAGACCTATCTAAATGATTTTGTGGGTACTTATCTTGTGATATGCGTATCTTAAAATCTTATATCTTATCATCAATTGCAGCGCATTGTCTCCGGCAAGACATTTGAAATTGTGGATAATCTGAACAATCCGAGTCCTGATGAGTTCGTTGCGTTAAACCATGGCGATGGTTGGGCCAATAACATAATGTTCCAGTACAACACGAAAGGCGAGATACAGGATACCTACTTTGTCGATCTGCAAGTCCCTAAGTGGGGCTCAGTGGCACAGGATCTTTACTACTTCCTTATGTCTTCCACAAGCTTGGACATCAAAATATCAAAGTTTGATTACTTCATCTGGTTTTATCACGCCGAACTGGTGAAGCATCTGAAACTGCTTGGGTATTCGAAAACACTACCCACCTTAAGGAGTATTCACGACGCTCTCAACAAATACAGTGGATGGGGTGAGTTTACAATCGCAGCCCAATCGTTAGTCCAGATCTTATAAAAGAACACGTTTTCAGCGTTCATCTGCGCCTCTACTATATTGGCATGTGTCCTTCTGGATCCCATAGACGGAACTGATTTCGATAAGGTTCTTGGTGACGACGACAGCGCCTTTAAGAAATCGCTCTACATAAACCCCAGGTTTCGCAAGCATATGGAGGTTCTATTGCCATGGCTTCAGCATCGAGGAGCTATGGAGTAGATACTTAGCATGTACTTAAATCGCATAAACACCTTTTTTTAAATATGAACTGTAAGGATGGCATATAGAAACACGCTGCTGTGTTTTTGTAGTAATGTTACTATTTAAGGTTGTTTAGCAAATGGTGTTCCCCATAACCGGAGTCTCCATTTGTGAATATGAATATCACTATAGTTATTAGTTCATTGGCATGCCATTATTTTAATTATCTCCAAACACCTATATGACATTCAAGCCTTTATATGGGCACATATTCGTATATATATACATCATGTAAGTGCACCGATGCATACCACCCATTTGTTTTGTTTTGTATGCATCGTTTGAGGGTTTGTAACCAAGTTGTTTTGAGAACTCTCTATAGCCGGCGCTCTCTTTGTTTTGCGACAAGCTTGTGCAGCTTTTGGAGCTTTTGGGTCGGCACTTGTTTTGTTAGCAAACAAAGATACAAAGGGAAAAGTTTCGCTGGCACATTTGTGCAGCACCAGCCGGCAAATAAACACTTAGTCTGGTCGCAATGAAGGAGGAGACGGGAACAGTGCCTTTGCCCACCTGGCTGAAAGCAGACCTATTTGAGGAAGTGCTAGGTAGGCGTTACGGCGACAACTATGCCGGAATCAAGAGCTTCGAGGCGGAAGCCGGTCTCAAGCCGGGTGAAAACTACTCCACAATCATGCTGCGCCTCAAGTTTGAGGTCGAACTGAAGTCGAAGGGTGAGTGTGACTCAGTGTCGCGGCAAACAATGGACAGTCAAACCGAAAACCTCATCATCAGATCACACCATCGAAAATGTGAGCTATATGCTCAAGACGCCACATGATTTCGAGATGTACCGCGAGATTCTGAGGAAGAACAACATGTTTGCGGTGGAGCGAGATGTGTTCCTGCAGGTGATTCCAGAGCTGGAACAGATGTACAAGGACGTGGGCCTGGAGGTCACGTTCGGGGCCAAGGCCTATGAAATCGACGCGCCCGACGAGTACGTACTCCTGCAGGATCTTCGCCCTTTGGGTTTCAGGAACGTCGATCGCCTGGAGGGTCTGGACATGGCTCACACCAAGTGTGTTCTGAAGAAGATGGCCCAGTGGCATGCGGTCTCGGCCACCAGGCTGCATCTCAAGGGTCCGTACGGCCAGAACTACCTGCAACCCACCTACGCCGATACCATGAAGGAGAACATCGAACAGGTGGCAGAAACCTTGGGCAATTATTTCCTCAAGTGCCTGCCACTTTACGATGGTTACGCGGAGTACAGCGATGCGGTTGTAAGTTTCTTTAGCCATGTGCACTTTTGCTTGCACCAGTAACCACAAAATAATCTATCTGTGCAGCACAAGATACAGCCCAATATCGTCGAGCTTATGTATGCCATGAACACACCCGATCCGCAGGACTTTAATGCCCTGAATCACGGCGACTGCTGGACCAACAACATCATGTTTAGATACGACGCCGAATCCCCCGAACCGGCGGAGACCTATTTCGTGGACCTGCAACTGCCCAAGGTGACCAGCGTGGCAAACGATCTGATCTACTTCCTCCTGGGCTCGACAAAATTCGACATCCAACTGAGTCAGTTCGATTACTTTATCAAGTACTACCACGACCAGCTCGTCGAGCACCTGAGATTGCTGAACTACCCCGAAGCAAAGACACCCTCGTTGAGGTTCCTCCACACTCAGCTGTTGAAGTATGGACGAGTTGGTAAGTGGAAAGCTCGCTCTGCAAGCGCTCCAGCTGTAGATAACCAAGTTTTGGTTTGCTTTCCCATCGTAGGGTATCACACTGTCCTGATGCTCTGCCCACCTGTGCTGCTCGATCGCACTGAAGATGGGAATCTGACGGATTTCGTCACCGAGTCGGATAACGGCGATGGTCTCAAGATGGCAATGTACTCCAATGCCCGCTATAAGAAGCACGTTAGCGCCATCCTCACGTGGATGAACAATCGAGGTGCCTTCCAGTGCTAGTCCTCATCACTTTTTGGATTGGATATATGTGAATGGAAACTCTAATAAGTGATTCCTAACGATCTCAGGGAAAAAACGAAAAAATATAGATTTTGACATTTTTAACAGCAAGCACATACAATTTATTGCCCTTATATAAATATACTTATACATGACTTTTAAAAATGAATTAAGATTGTAGCGGAGCAAATACGAGTACAGTATGTATAGAAGTCATGGTTCTCATTAGGCGGATCGTAAGCCTATTTACATAAATACAACGATGTTATTAAGTAATGAGTAAATAAAGATATTTACAAATTCTAGTTGCTAGTTGACCGCTTTCTTGAAGTAAACCAGGGCTATAAATAAAAGGCCTTAACTGGCCTATTAAGCCCCAATCAAAGGTACTCAAAAGGCGAATGGTGGCCATGTAGACCAGCACTTTGCAGGATTACTAATATTCTAATAATTGTTTATAGAGTGCGCGGTGCTCGTGCAGAAATCGCAGCTGAACTGTCTATCTACCCATCACATGTCACGCCCGCAAACATCAATTAATGAGGAATCACGAAATAATTAGAGCGAATGGCGAGCGCAAAGAGGAACTCGGGTGCCCGATCCCGATAAGGAAGCCGAATCAGGAGCGGGAACAAGAAACAGTTTTCGTTATCAATCAAACAATTGACGGTGTTTGCGTCTCTATATCATATATCACTCACCTCTCGCTCTGGCACACTAGCTCGCACCCGCTCTCGCCAACGCCAATTGCCACTCTTTTGCCGGTTTTGGCGAACTGAATTACAAAATAAACTTCAATCGAATGCACGCGATAAGGAATTTCTTTGCCCATACCCAAATCGGGCCAAAATCGAGCTTCCCGAGCACAGCGACTCGTATTTCCCACTCGACAGTTGGCCGGATTGCAGTCGATCTATCAGCCCGCTCCGTTTACCAATTAAGGAAAAAGGTTTGCTACCAATGTGTGTGTTTTCGCAGAATTGGGGGTTCCAAAGGACAAAGTGCTATAAAAACATGGCTCGGATGGGACTGACATCTAGTATTCAGACTGTTATTGTGGTGGACTGAGCGACTAAGAGTGAAATTGAAAAACAAAGAAAGTGCATGGAAAATTCTTAAAAAAACAAAACTAAACTTTTATTTCGAGTAGGTGGTATTTCCCAACTTGTGTTTCGTAATGCACTCAAAACTCATAGCAGGTGTTTCATTTTTGTGGCATGTGACCTGATTTATGATTTTTGCTCATTAATTTGCGATAATTCCGATAATTCCCTAATCAATGAAAGCCCCACAAAAGTTCGGTAATTACCCGTGTTGGAATGACCACAAATCGCCAAATCACGTTTCTCCAACTACTTTCGAAAATATATATCTTAAAAGGGGTGCATTTCCCATGGAATTGTTAGTAATACAGTTAATATGGATTTAACTGCATACTTAAAAAAATATCAGGTAGTGCCGCAATTCTCTTCAAGTATTGAAGAAAACACTTGAGGGTGCCATTAGCAGTTCTGAGTGTTAGCTTGAGTCATAGTTCTATTGAGATCACTGTGGAATTGAGTTGAAGGTCCACATATTGAGGTCTTATGACTTCTGCAGAGATAGCTTCATGGGAAATCATTCAAAAGTTATTGCACTTAATGGTGTTTTATATTTTTTCATTTTATTGCATCAATTTGCGTACGGTATGATAATTTTTCGCCAAAGATTTATATATACTCAATTTGTCGGCCCCATTTGATGTAATTATCTTAAAGTACACAAATCTCGAGAGGTTCTTTGATTAGTGGGTGGGGCACAGACCAGAACGCACTTTATTATTCAAATATTCCGCGCCTTTGGCAAGAAGGGAAAGTGGCGCCACCTATGATTGATGTATGTCTAACAATCATTTCGTATACGACCTGTTGGCCATGCCGACAGTGGAGTTAAGGCATTTGATTGTTGTTATCAGCGCTACGTTTGCTTTGGCATTTCATGGCAGATTCATCATGTCTGAGGCCACCAATGGACACAGTGAGGTGCCAGCCAGTGATCTTCCACCTTGGCTGTCGAAAATCACTCTGGAGAAGGCGGTTCAGGCCCAGATCGGGGACTTTGAGAAGATCATCTCGATTAGCCCGCAAAAGGGCAGCAGTGATGGCGATAACTATTCCACACAGTTCCTTCGTTTGCTGGTGGAAGTGGAGCTGCTTGGTGAGTGAAGAACTATAACACACAAAAGCTTATAGATGTATAGCGCTTACATATTGCTTGCAGACCACAGCACTAAGGATCTTTCCTTCGTTCTGAAGGCGCAGCACAACAACGAAATGATGGCGGCCATTCTGGCCAGGTTGAAGCTCTTCCAAAAAGAGGAACAAATGTACCATAACATTATACCCAAATTCGAGAAGCTCTACGCGGATGCCGGCAAACCCATTCAGTTCGCGCCCAAAGCCTTCAAGCTGGACCGCGACCTGGGAGTGGACTACATTCTGCTGGAGGATCTGCATCGTAAGAACTTCAAGAACGCCAATCGCCTGGCCGGCCTGGATCTCGATCACATGCACAAGGTTCTCGAGAAACTGGCCGCCTTCCATGCGGCATCCGCCTGCTACGTGGAGCACCATGGTCTCTTTGGCGAGGAGTTCACCGTGGGCGTTTTCAGTGAGGCTAATCGTCAGCTTCTTCAGGAGTTCAATGCATCGGGCGCGTTTTTGGCCCAGCTCAAGAAGTGGAAGAATGCGCAGAAAATTTATGACAAGTTGGTGGGTATCTTTTGCACAAAAGAGTTGAAAATCGATTACAAATCTTTTTCCCTTTTTAGGCTGATAGCGATGACTACTTGGTGGATCGTCTGCTGCAGGATCAGCAATACAATACCAGAGAATTCAACGTGCTCAACCACGGAGATTGCTGGGCCAATAACGTGATGTACCAACATGATGCATTTGGAACTATTAAGGATACCCTTTTCGTGGACTTTCAAGTGGGAAAATACGGAAGTCCGGTAGGTCCTGCAAATATGGGTTGACTCTGCATATTCCATTCTGATAAATACCCTCTGTTTCTTATATGCAGGCCAATGATCTGTACTACTTGATATTGTCGTCGGCTGCTCCAGAGCTGAAAACTGCCAAGTTTGACTACTTGGTGCGCTACTATTTCGATAATCTTATCGAGAATCTAAAACTACTGCAATACCACCGACCACTGCCCAAGCTGAAGAACCTGCATGCTTCCCTTTTCCGCAACGGATTGGCAGGTGAGGAGTCCAGTATCGTCATTAAGATAGCACCTTCATAATGCTTTATTGGCAGCTTATATGGTGGTGTCCAAGGTGCTGCCAGTCGTCATGCTGGACAAGACAGGCGATGCTAATCTGGAAAGCTACATAAGCGACGAGTCCAAAATGAAGAACGCCATGTTCACCAACCCGAAGTACGTCCAGGTGATGATCGAGGTGCTGCCATGGTTGGACAACCGCGGCCTGCTCGACTGGAAGTGATTACCTTCCAAATGTATCTGTACTTTAATAATGACTATTTAATTGCGTCATCTACAAATTGCGTTGAAAGTCAAATAAAAAGATAATAATATTGTAAATGCCCGTTGATTGTCGATTCAAAATAGAATCGACGTCATGTGTGCAAAAATCATTATTCTTAATAGCTAATTTAAAAATTTTCAACGTGAGTGGAGTTCTAATTATGTTGTACTCGTAATCTTTCAGTTTTTTGCATTAGAAATTTCACTCAATAGTTACACTTCCTAACAAAATTCAGAGATTAAAATTTTAAGCGTATTTTAATAGCCATGAAAGTACCGAAAATTCCCGAGTGGGTTTCCGCTCTGTCCTTGAATCAGGCAGTCCATTCCGTCCTGGAGGATGGGGACCAGATCATGACCGTCATCCCAGGCGTCCATCTTATCCAGTTCCGTAACTGCACTGTGCTGCTGCCAATCCGGGTGAAGGTCCAGTTGCGGGACTCCACAGTGAAGAATTTGTTCTTTGTACTGAAGGCTCAACATGGCAGCGACCTTCAGGCCATGGTGATGAACCAGCTGAAGATGTTCCAAAGGGAGCACCAGGTTTACCACAATGTCCTGCCCAAGTTCGAGGAACTCTACAGGGAGGTGGGCAAGGAGGTGTCCTTTGGTCCGCGAGCTTTTAAGCTGGACTACAACATCGGTGTTCAGTACGTCCTGCTGGAGGATCTCAAGTCCAAACACTACAAAAACGTTGTACGGCAGGATGGCTTCAACAAGTTGTGTCTGAAGCAGGTGCTCAAGAAACTGGCCCAGTTCCATGCCGCCTCCGCCGTGTGTGTGGAAAGGCACGGCGCTTTTAGCAAACTACTGACCAACGGAGTCTACACAAAGGCCAACCAATCTATCCTGCAGGATCTGAACGATCCGGACACCTTCCTTTCTCAGCTGCGTCGCTGGCGTTTGGGCGATCATTTCCACAAACGGTTGGTGGAAAAGGAGAAGGACCTCGTTGATGGGCTGTTATTGCTCCATTCCACCGACTCCAATGAATTCAACGTCCTGAATCACTGCGACTGCTGGGTGAACAACGTGATGTTCAAGTTTGACCAGGCCGGTCATGTGGAGGACACCGCGCTGCTCGATTTCCAGTTGGCTAAATATGGATCTCCTGTAGGTATCCTTTCTAAGCTTCCAAGTAAATGATTGTTTACTTAATTACTTTTTCCAGGCCCTTGATCTGTACTACACCATCTTGTCGTCCGCTGAGAAGGACATTAAACTAGCCCAGTTTGACAATATGGTTCAGTACTACTTCTACCATTTGCTGGAAAACCTTAGAGCTCTAAATTTCCGAGGCAGCCTACCGCAACTGGAGCATATTCGCGATGCGCTCAACAAAAACGGACTGGCTGGTGGGTAAGAAATATGAACTACATCAGAGCTAATCATTGAATGAGTTTCAGCCTATGTGGTGGTCACTCGAGCTCTGCCCATAACTATGATGAATCAGTTCGAGGACGAGGTGAACGAACGATATGCCTCCAAAATGAAGTGTGCCATGTTCACCAGCCGGAAATACATCCAGGCGATGAAGGATATCCTGCCCTGGATGGAGGAGCGCTCTTTGCTTAATTAGGGATGAATCAAAGTTCCCGTGTTGGAATCGACCCAATTTAATGAATGAAAGAGGTATTCACAGGCTGTCAATTGATTCAGGTACAATGCTCAATAAACTTGATTAGCCGCCTTATCAATATTGTTTGGATTGATTTCGTTTTCAAATGCCAGTCATGTTGGTACGCTTTTTTAAGCACATTACGAGTATTTCGATATTTTCGCATGGGCTTACGTCTGCTATTAATAAAACCCATAATCGCGAAACTAACTTAAATTGACCTTCAATCAAAATTCCTTATCGGACGAGCCCAAGCCAATGACGCACCAGATCCCCAACTTGGACAACCCCCACATTTTCCGCCTTGGCATGACGAAGCGGCTCAATTAACAAATTTAGACCAGAATGTGTTTAAATAAGTATAGAAACACGAGTAACGACACAACTGAACTATTTGTGGGAAATTTAAATGAATTTGTTGCACAACAATTAAATTCCATGTCAACATTGCTTCCACAGAGAGATACAAAATTTCAACAAGGGGTTGTTTCTTCAATTACAGTATTCATAGTTGTGGATTGCTTATTCTGCGTTCTATCTAAATCAATAAGTCAGCCAATGAGTTATGCTAATTGTTTTTTCCATTATAGCTTCCTGTAATTGCTTGGCCATCAATTTAATAATTACAGTGTTGCGACAACTTATTCAGAAGTAACTAGGTAAGGACTAAGTTCGACTTAATATGCCAAAAAGGAGCACTTTGGAAACTGCTGAGAACATAGTTATTACAGATTTACATACGTAGTGATAAGATAACTTCGAAATTTAGGCGCTGGAACCCCCTTACCAAAGTCGAGCACTACGAAAACCAATGAAAATGGGTTTTGTGCAGGTCAATTATGGTATGACAGGTATGGGAACCCATTACATGGTCGGATTTAACCTTTGCTCTGCATCATATCTAGTATCGGTGGCATGGGTGCGCCTAAGCGAAAACCCGTTTACGCTATCAGTTCGGCCCAAACACATACACCCCGCACACACACTAGCACACGTGCCTACGGGGCACTAATAGTATAAAAGTTTGCGAATCGGACGGAGAGTTCAGTATTTGCTTGTCGTTGGAAACCGTCGGACACAGCAGCAGTGTTTTCTCCGAGCGGAATTTAAATTGGAATTAGAAATCCGCAAAGTCGGTCAGTAATAAATGACAATTGTATCAAATAAGATGGGCAGTTCGCAGGCAATCAACTAATCAAATACTAAATATTTAAGCTGTGATTTCTAAGCTGTGCCACGCCACTGCAAATGCAAATATTTTAGACTTTGATCACCCTGAAAACGGAGGCTTTCGCTTTCGTTAACTGTAATTAAAATGAATGGAAAATGCGATGGAACTTTCTCAATTGCTTTGATCTTGAACCGCTGATCGCTTCCGCCGCGAAACTCAATTAATTGATCTACCGCTTACAGCATCAGCATCGAAATGTCGCCGAACAACAGCTCGGAAAAGCCCCTCAATCCCAACGAGCATCTGCACATACCGAAATGGGTGAACGAGGACTACTTCCTGCCCATTCTCCAGAAGGATGTGGACAACTTTGACAGGATCGTGCACTTTGTGCCCATTGCGGCCACTGCGCCCGGCGAGAACTACACATCCATTATGATCCGAGTCATTGTGGACATACTGCTGAAGGGTCAGTGACTTAACAAGGATGCTCGCTTTTCCAAAACTAATTCCAGCGTATTCCCTTTTCCAGATGGCAGCGAGCAGAAGGTCTCGTACATTCTGAAAACGATGCTAGTGGCGGACAGTGGAGCGGATGTGGTCAGTGGCTTGGGTCTGTTCCCCAAGGAGAGGAAAATGTACGAGGTGCACATCCCGCAGTTCGTGAAGCTTTACAAGGAGGCGGGCCAGGAAATCGAGTTGGCACCCAAGTGTCTCCACGTCGAGGCTACCGCCGAATTGATTACCCTGGTTTTCGAGGATCTGAGCCGGCAGAACTTCAGGAATTTCGATCGGCTAAGGGGATTTGATCTGCCGCACATGCGCCAAGTGCTCCGGAAACTGGCCGAACTGCATGCTGCATCCGTGGTGGCCAAGGAAATAAATGGCCCCTACGATTCCCTGTACTCCATCTCCATGTACAACGAGAAGAGTCGCGAGCTCTTTGTGACGCTGGGTAAAATGCGACAGGAGCAGTTCCTCAAGGCAATGCGAACCTGGGACCTCGAGGATGCCGAAAGCTACATCGCCCGGATGTTGAACCCCATGGAGGTGTTCGAGGAGGCTCTGCGAATCAACCAGGTGGACGAGAACGAGTTCAATGTGCTGAACCACGGGGACTGTTGGTCCAACAACATAATGTTCAATTACAAGGACAATGGCGAGATCGATAGAACCTTGTTCGTGGACCTGCAGATAGGCAAGTGGGGCAGTCCGGCCCAAGACCTTTGGTACCTGATCACGACATCCGCCTCGCTGGACATCAAAGTGAAGGAATTCGATCACTTTATACACATCTATCACCAGCGCCTGGCGGAGTGCCTTCAGCTGCTGAACTACTCGAAACCCATTCCCACGCTCAGGGATCTGCACATCATGATGCTGAAGTACGGATTCTGGGGTTGGTATACTTGAGCTTATACATAGAATGAAAATTTCAACGAATGAATATTTCAATTGGTAGGTCCTCTCACCTCCATGGGTGTGATGGTGGCCACACTTATGCCCACGGACAAGGATGCCAACATGAAAATGCTGTTGGCCCCAGGACCCGAGGCGGATGCCCTGCGATACAGGACCTTCATCAATCCCTACTACGCCAAAGCCATGAAGGTGCTGCTGCCTTTCTTCGATTACAAGGGACTCTTGAAGTCGAATTAGCCTTGATCCGGAATTCCAATTGTGGTGTAGCCCATTTGCTGTGATATCATATATCATGGGCGCAAGCAATAAATAAGAATTTGATTTAATTTACACATACTTCGCTTGGTTTCATCACTAAATCGCTTCCCCAGACTTGGCGTGGTAACAAAACCGTCAACAAAACGTAAGAAACTATCATCATGACTGGCTAAAATTGGTTTCGCGTGTGTTGAGCTTGAAATGGGCCCAAATGACGTCGTCTTCAAACTTTGCTGCCGTATGATAAATCTTTAACTCTTTCGTCGAGCGTCCAATTTATCAACTAGTGACGTATGTGCCAACGTAAGTTCCTTAACTTTTCCCCTTTAATGGTAATCAATAGTTTAACGAAAATAGGCGCTGTTGATTACTATTTATTTCTTGATAAAAAGTAAAACAAAAGGTGGGAATCGACATCAGACTTTTCTGTAATCGCGTTGAAATCTATTGACTTCTCCGAACCAAAAACCGCACTTGTTTGCCACACTCCATAAAATCGTAATTCTATTTAATCAGCCGGAAACATTCTATAAAATAATTGCACACCCAGCATTTGGCATTGATGGCAAAACTGCGTCACAATGAGGTTTTAATTGCCCGAGGCATTCATATACTCGTATGTAATTGGGAACACGCAAATAATTCTCATTCATGGGGCATCCAGATGAGCAGCGATAGAATGATGTAAATTAGCGATTCAAATGAGCCAAACATTTAAATTGTTTGTTTCTAAAATTTTAGCTTGGCTTGGCATGTGTTGTTGCAAACGTGCTTAGCAAACCGCAGAAAATGTAGATTGATTATGAAAGTTGGAAGATGGCGAAAGTTAAGAAACCTAGGATTTATTTATTCATACCTTACTGGACATTTTAACTACCATTTAATCATATATTATTCGAGTACTTTCAGGCATGGAGTAAGCCCAACTGATCCAACCGGGCCAGCACTATTTTGACATCTTTAATGTAACCTTCAGAAAAAGTGCATTTCCATCGCTTTTCCTCATTCTGGAGCAGATCGCCAAAGTCGACCGACTTATCCCTCAATGCCCACATCAGCGGTAGGAAGGTGCTGATGAGGAAGAACTCTGTTGTGATTGTACACAACTTTGGTCATAAGTTGAAACTTGGTGAAAGCGGTAACTCACCGTAGTACTTGTGCTGATGCAGACGCTGCCAAAGACCCGATTGAGTGGGCATGACACCCGCATAGCCGATCTTCTTCAGAACATCCTCCAGAACGGAGAAGTAATAGTTGATGAGTTCATCCCAGTTCTTCCATCGCTGCTCTGGCTCCAAAAGCATGTATATCGAATAAACCAGATCGAATGTCAGGGGAAAGCGATTGCTGATTTGAAAGTCCAGCAGCATGCAGTCCTCGAAGGATCCAGGCTCCTGGTACTTGAACATAATGTTTCGCAGGTGCAGGTCTCCGTGGCAAAGCACCCAGTACTCGTCCCTTTTCTGGTTCCCTCGAAAGTCCTTCCACTCTTCAACGAGTCGCGCCAGGAAATCGTCCTTGATGCTCTCGAAGTACGGCTTGTACTTATTCAGCTCCGGCTCCTTACCCAAGAGTTCCACGAAGAATTCCATTCCAGTTTTCATAAAGGGCTCGTTCAGGACGTGGGGCATCTCAAACAGTCCGTGGGTGTACGGCTCTAGGAACTCTGGATGCTAATAACAATTTACATTAGAAGAGGATTCCTTCTCTATAGTGACTTTGAAAAACTTACCTCACTCTGCACTTTTAAGCTGGCTGCATGCCACTTGGCCAGTTTGAAGTAGACGCGGCGTATCTCATCCAAGGTGGCGTCCCGATCCCGAAGCACAAGGTAGCCCATCTCGACCAGATCCTCAAAAATCAGAACCTGATGCGGCACCAGACTGTGGTATATGCAATTCACGTGTAGCTTGGTGCTATCGCCGATCTGGCGAAGAATCCGCTCGAACTCGGGCAGCACCTTTGTGTACAATCCCATCTCGGTTTCGAAAATGGGCGATCCTCCGAGCATATCCTTCTTGTGTCCCTCCGCCTCTGGCATTGTCTTGATGATCAGCGACTTCTGGAACTCCCCCTTCCGGTTGGTGTACTTCACCCTTGCCCGGAACATGATGCTGGCATAGTGATCTCCCTTCGCACTCGCCGGGCAGAAGCTCAAATCGGTTACCCTGACCACGGCCTCCGAATCATGGGCTTCCAGCACGCGGGCTATGAACTCGGAGTTGAGCCACTCAGGAGGCACCAATTCGTCATCATTAAACTGATGGTTATCGGGGTTCTCGGACATATTGTTTACTAACTTCTGTTGTGATTTGCAGCGAAGAGCGCACTAAACAAAGCTCAATTTCAATGGCACCTAAGTGGAATTTCAGAGAGAATTTCGTTTTTGAATGCAGTTGTGTGGGACCTAGGAAGCTTTTTTCTCGTGATAAAGAAGAGCTTTTTGTTTCGCTTTGAAATTCATCTTTGTTGTGTATCTCATTTGGAGCATCGACAGAGAACTAAGAGAAAAAACGTGCCTATTCGAGCGTTACCAAAACACCAGCCTTATAAATATCATCTTTAAAGCTCTAAAAAAAATAAAAATATGCATATACAAAACTTTATTGTCGGTTCTCAGATTAACACTGCTCTTAAGCAACACTTGATTTTATTTACCAATCTTATAAATCCTCAAAATATCCAGATCTTTCAAATCGGGCCAGTATTATTTTGCATTCTTCAATAAAGTCACGTAATTTTTCATCAGTTTCTTCGTTAGATGCGGACGCAAGGTTCAGACCTACCGACATGGGCAAGTAGGTGCTGAGAAAAAGAAACTCTGGAATAGGAACTATATATTTACAGCCACAATCTTAAACAGATATAACCTTACCGTAATACTTTAGGCGGCTCATTTCCGTCCAGAAGGCAAGGGGATCTGGCAATACTCCGTGGTAGCCAATCTTTTTGAGGCTTTCGCGCAGAACTGAGAAGTAGTAGTTCATTAAGGTCTCGAACTGCCCAATGCGCTGTTCCCGGCCCATTAGCAGGTAAATGGAATACATGAGGTCCACAGCCAGAGGAGCAAGACAGCAGCCTTGGTAGTCGAGCAGCATGCAATCCTCGAAGCTTCCGGACTCCTCTTTATGCTTAACCATTATGTTCCGGGTGTGGAAGTCCCCATGGCAGAGCACGTAGTATCCAGGCTGAGGATTGGTTTGGTACTCCTTCATGATATCACGCAGTCGGTCCTTAAAATGGACTTCTATCTTCTCAAAGTGCGACTTGTAGCTGGCCAACTCAGGAATGCGGCCCAAAAAATCCTTAAACGAACCCATGCCCGAGCTCATATAGGGTATATCAACTAGACAAATGCCATCCTTGAATTCCTTAACGAACTCTGGTCGCTAATTAAAGAAATCATTTGGCAGTCGTAAAATGCGATGTTTTTTCGATTGTGGCGTACCTCGTTAATAATCTTCATGCTAAGTGCGTGAAATTTGGCCAGTTTCAAGTATGCACCACAGATCTCCTCATGCGTGAGCTCTCGATTTCGCACCATGGCATAACCCATCTCGGACAGATCTTCAAAGATCATTACTTGACGTGGTTCCAGACTATAATAAATACAGTCCGCGTAAAGCCTGGATGTATCATTGTGTTCTCGCAATATCCTCGCGAACTCTGGCAGGACCTTTCTATACATGCCTATTTCAGTTTTAAATAGAGCTGAACCGGCAAACATTTCCAAAACCGTTTTAATAATTAGAGACTTGGAGAAGGATCCCTTCTGGGTTGTGTATTCCACCAGAGCACGAACTATAACACTGGCATAGTTATCTCCTTGGGCACTTCCTGGGGTGCAATCCAGTTTGGTAACCCTGAGGTCCGGTTCATTTTCGTGGCTACTCAGAACTTCGGTCACAAACTGCACACTTAACCATTCTGGGACACTCAACTGATCAGCTGAGCTATCTTCAGTCATGTTCTACTCCGTGGGGCAATATTACTAATACTGGTATAAACTTATCAGGTAAAATCGCATAAATTTTATATAAAAAGGCGTATGGCTACTGAGCATCGTGATGACTAAACGCCCGAGGGAAACTAAAAACATTCACGCTCGCTGAATTTTCGATGTTTTGATTGAGCTTTCAAGCTCTTTGAAACTCACTGCATTTCACAGATGGTCTTGTTTACTATTGTTTCGAAGACGAAAAGCTTACAGATTATTAATGTATTTAAATGGTATGTGACCAATTCAAACTGCATTTATTCCTCTTTATATCACGCTTACACTTTCTTACAAATCGTCAAAATATCTTGATTTCTGGAATCTGGCCAATATAGATTTGGTTTCTTCTATAAAATCTTCCAGTTCATATAGTTTCTTATGTGTTTCTTTGTTGTGCAGCATATCCCCTATGTCCAACTTATGCGTACGCAACCCAATCGAAACTGGCAAGAAAGTGCTCAGCAGTAGAAACTCTGGAATTAATACAATTGCAATAATAAATCCTTTAGCCAGAGGACGACTTGAAATTACCGTAATATCTATGGCGTTTCATTTCCGCCCAAAATCCTTGAGGCGTGGGCATTGAGCCCTGGTAGCCAATCTTCTTGAGAGTCTCTAGGAGGCTGGACAGGTAGTAGTTCAGCAAAGTCTCCAGCTCCGCTCTTCGCTGTGCCGGCCCCATCAGCATGTAAATGGAGTACATAAGATCAACGGCCATGGGAGCCACATTACAGCCCTGATAATCCAGCAACATGCAGTCCTCCAAGCAGCCAGTTTCCCTATTGTGCTTGAACATCATGTTGCGGGAATGGTAATCTGCGTGGCAGAGAACGTTGTATCCTGGCTGGGGATGGTGTCGATACTCCTGCATGGTCTCCCGCAATCGGTCCTTAAAGTGCAGCCTTATCTTCTCAAAGTGCGGCTGGTATTTGTTCAGTTCAGGAATGCGACCCAACATTGCCGTAAAGGGAGCCATGCCCCCGTTTATAATGGAACTGTCCATCAGCCCGGGCATTTCACACAATCCGTTCTTAAACTCACTCAGATACTCAGGTTGCTGAAAATAGAGAGTTTAATACATTATATACGTATTTGAAAGCTACATTAATCGATTGCTGCAAACCTCGTGAATGAACTTCATACTGATGGCATGGATCTTGGCCAACTTGGAGTAGGCACTGCAGATTTCCTCCCTTGTGAGGAAACGATCGCGCACAACTGCATATCCCATCTCGACCAGATCGTCAAAGATGATAATCTGATGTGGCCGTAGACTGTGATAGATGCAGTTCACGTATAGCTTGCTTGGATCCTTTGCCGTTCGGAGAATCCTCTCCCACTCGGGCAGTACCTTACTGTACATTCCAATCTCAGTTGCAAATAGTGGAGAATCCTTAAACATATCCTTTTTGATACCCTCCTCCACGGGCATCGTTTTTATGATAAGCGACTTGGTGTAGTTTCCATTCTGCGCCGTATATTCCACCCAAGCGCGAAACATTATGCTGGCATAGTGATCGCCCTTGGCACTGGCCGGAGTGAAACTCAAGTTGGTCACCTTCAGGTTCGAATCCTTTTCGTGGCCACTCAACACCTGAGTCATGAACCGAACATTCAGCCACTCCGGAGGAGTCAACTCGTCGGCATTGAAATTTTCTTCTGCCATATGGACGCACCTTTGGGTATTTTTACTATACTGTTTTCAAATTGTTTTAGAGGGAGCCCTATATACATATGTGTATTCGATTTGTTAGAGCTTTTGGTGTAAATGTAAGAACGAAATTGTGAAATTGTTATCAGTTTCATTTTGGCTCGCAAGTTACCTGAGAACCAAATGAACAACTGAATTCGCTGTGTTGAGTTTTCAGTTTGTTTGGGGCTTTAAAGCTTTTGAAAATAACTACAGATGAAAACATATTTTGTATTCTCCTAAAATAAGTGCACAATTACGATTGTGTATCTGTACACATCCAACTTCTAGGCGTCCTATGAGGAACATCTACCCATTCTTTGACAACCTTGGATTCCTTAATATTACAGAACTTTGAATTGAAAAATGTGTGCAAAAGTAAACCCCGATTCTAAATTAAATTATCACTGTATTACTTTACTTTACTTATTAAGACCAGTTTACTGCCAGTTCACAGTGCTCATCAAAACTAATCTCGCAGCTCACAGGTGACGTCCAAACAATATCGTAACTTCACGATGACTAGCTAGGTATAAGAAAAAAAAGTAAACAAAAATAATTGCTGTCGCAAACTATTTTTGTATGCCTATAATAATGAGTTAGCAAAAAAAGATGTCTGATTAATAATTATACAAGCACACGCGTTACGAATTATTTTACTGCTATCTGTGCCGCAAAAACAAACAAACTATCTATATACGATTGTTGTTAAATAATTAAAACAACAAATACTTTCTTTGTATCGGTAAAACTCATTAAACGGCTGGCTATCGACAAACCATCTATCAATTGATTGTCAAGGCCTGATAAACTTTGTTGGCCATGCTAATTTGTCAAATGCTCTTTAAAATACTCTTCAAAATGGCAAAATATGAAAGAGAGGAAAGAGGAATTCGGTTAGAACTTGTAACAGCAAAAGGCCAAAAAAGATTATATATGCAAGCCAAGTTTAGAAAATTGATCAATTGATACGCCTGAGACTCGTATACGTACATATATAATAGCAACTTCGTATGATTATGATTTCACAACACGAAATGGGCTTAATGATAAGGGACGCCAGAGAGAACCGATTTAAAGCTCTACCGAAAGAGTCTAAATCCCAGTTGCCAACTAGCAGTTGCCGAAATAGGTTGTGCTGGCCAAATATAAAAGTTAACATCATTATGTCCGACAGCGATGAGATCGTAAACCCCAATGAGCATCTGATCATTCCGGATTGGATCAATGAAAAGTATTTCGAAGATGTGCTGGCCAAGGAGGAACCCGATCATGTCAAAGTGATGAAGTTCACCGTAGTGGCTGCGATTCCGCCCGGCGAGAATTTCACTTCGACCATGCTGAGGGTTTATATCAAACTGGAAATGAAAGGTGAGTTGGCCAAAAGCGTGCGTGCGAAAGATACGCAGATGCGGATAAAGTTCAAGCACATTAATATAAACTGGCAACATGATTGCAGATGGCAGCGTCAAGACCAAAACATACATTTTCAAGACGATGCTGCCCGAGGAGCGAGGAGGCAGCGACATCAACGAGTTTGGCCTCTTTCCCAAGGAGGCCATGATGTACAAGACGTACCTGCCGGCATTCGAGGCGCTCTACAAGGATGTCGGATGGGACATTCAGCTGGCGCCCAAGTGTCTGCACACCGAGGTGCGTGAAGGAGACATCCACTTCATCTTCGAGGATCTGTGCGTAAAGAGCTACAAGAACATGGATCGCACGAAAGGTCTGGACATGGAGCACATGACCAAAAGCCTGCACAAACTGGCCGAGTACCATGCGGCCAGTGCGGTTTACGAGGAGCGCCATGGTCCGTATCCCAGCGAATTCAGTGAGGGCTTCGTTACGAGGGATATGAAAAAATTCCACGTTGATGGGTTCCAGATGAAGGAGAAAGCCTACAAAAAAGCAATGCTCTCGTGGGGCTTGAAAGACGCCGATAAATATATTAAGGCATTTGTAGGTTTGCAACAGCTGAAATTTCAAGTGCTAGAACTAACAGCTGTATACATATTTTTTTAGCCCACTGTTGACCAATATTGGGCTCAATGCCTGAGTACTTTGGACTTGAATCCCGATGAATTCCATGTGCTTAACCACGGCGACTTTTGGTCGAGCAATCTGATGAGCAGCTATCTGCCGGACGGAACCATCGAGAAGCTGATACTAATCGACTTCCAGATTGTCATGTGGGGCAGTCCGGCAATGGATCTGCTTTTCTTCCTCACCCTCTCCCCCACCAACGATTTGCGCATCAAGCACTTCGAGCATTTCGTCAGGATATACTGGGAACGTCTGATCGAGTGCTTGAAGGTCCTTAAGCTGAAGAAGCCCTTGCCAAAGCTTCGTGATCTGCAAAACTCCATGAACAACAAGAACCACTCGTTTTACGGTAGGTTTCAAATGCAATCATTAGCTATAGATACTTCAGCTTGAAACTGTAATTCTTCCGCAGCTTTCTTCAGCATCCTGAACCACCTGCCCATTATTCTCTTCCCCACCGACAAAGACAGCAACATTCACAGCTTGTCCGCTCAAACGGAGGAAGGCGAAAGGTATAGATTACGTTTGCTCTCAAATCCCGCCTTTGGAAACGTTATGAAGGATCTGTATCCCTATTTGTATAACCGGGGAATTCTGAACTTTGAGGACTACGATGTCTGATTTCTTGTCCGGCAATAAAATAATAGGGGTATTACGAAATCTTCTTTATCTGGGAGTACCGCAGAAGTGCATAGCTTATCAGTATAAATTGACAGTCATCGAGTTAATCGTTCACTACCTAAGATAAAAAATTATCTCCGGAGACGATAATATTTTGTGATGGGCTCAGCATAATGTCGGTTAGGACTTGGATCAGTTGTAATCATGCCGCGTACCGTGAAGATCGAGAATCCCAACGAGAGTCTCGTTGTTCCCAAATGGTTGACTCGGTCAAAGTTCGAGTCCTTGATCGCGAAGGATGAACCTGATTGCACCAAGATAGACCATTTTACCACTGTGGCGGCGGTGCCACCAGGGGGCAATTTTGCATCAGTCATGTTGCGAGTTTACCTGGATATAGAAATGAAAGGTATGGTAATGGAGATGCTATGTATAAGAACCATGTGGTAAATCCCATTCTCCCAGATGGAACTCAGAAAAGGAAGTCATATGTGGTCAAGACCATGCTGGACTTGGTCAAGGGTGGCAAGGCGGTGCATGAAATGAGGTACTTCCACAAGGAGCAGCAGATGTACTCCACCTATTTGCCGCAGTTTGAGAAAATCTATCGTGAGGCGGGGCGTTCCGTGCAGTTGATGCCGAAATGCCTGGAAATCGGGCAGATAGATGGAAATATATATTTCATTTTTGAGGATCTTTCGTCTCAACATTTCGTGGCTGTAGATCGCATGAAAGTAGTGAGTATGGAGCACATGCGACTCTCCCTTCGCAAGTTGGCCGAGCTACATGCGGCCAGTGTGGTGTACAGGGATAGGTATGGACCGTATCAGGCCGACTTTGATAATGGATTCGCCAGGAAGGACAAAATCCAGCAAAGTGTGAGAAGATTTGAAGTAAAAGCACCTGAATACAAGGCTGCCATGGCAACTTGGGGCATAGATGAGTGCTACCTTAAGAATTTCGTAAGGCTCCTAATAAAACCATAAATAGCTCCTTAGTCATAACCTTAATTACAGCCCACTAGTGAGCAGTACGCCAAGCTCTGTCTGGAGTCCCTCAATGTGGATCCACAGGACTTTAATGTTCTCACTCATGGGGACTTTTCTCTTTGCAACATTCTGTTCAAGTACGATGAGTATGGAGTTCCGAGTGAGGCGCTTCTAGTGGACTTTCAAATTTGCAAATGGGCAAGTCCTGCCCAGGATCTGCTGATGCTGATAATCCTTTCGGCTAGAAAGGATTCGGGCTGTATTGAACTCGATAATTTTGTGAGAATCTACTGGGAATATCTGATCGACTGCCTGGGAGTCTTGAAGTACGAGAAGCCACTTCCCCAACTGAGGCAACTGCAATCTGCCATCCACAAGAAGAACAACACTTTCTCTGGTATCGAATACAAATGTATTATTTTAGGATATGTTACTGACATTCTTTCACCTCAGCTTTCTTTGCCGTGATGAACCATTTGCCGGGACATTTGTTGCCCGTTTGCAAGGAAAACAACCTGCACACATTTAACTTAGAGGACGAGGTGGGCAGGAGTTTCCGTACCAAGGCATACACCAATCCCACCTTCGTGGAGGTCGTTAGGGAGCTGTATCCCCTTTGCTGCAACCGCGGACTCTTCAACTTCGAAGACTTCCAGTGATAGCAAGTTTGTGCATCTGACAGTGAAGCTTTCATTCGAACCTATTAAGCGAATTGTGTGCGAATATTGATTCCGGATTTTTCAAGTTTTCGACGGCGAATGTCGGGGCTGCAATGAATTGAAAGTCGGGGACCATGAGCAAGTTTTCCAACTAGTATGCCTGTAAAGCGAAAAATATTTGCTAAAAATGTTATCTTCCAGCAAGTAACGCGTTGCACTACTCGTTTAAGTATACGATTATGTATATGCGCATACTTTACTCTTGAGATAACAAAAAAATTGTTGTCTACTTATCACGTACTCACCGTATCTACATCGAAAAGCTGATAAAACCTATTAAGCGATAGTCTAGTATAATAATCTTGAAGAGATATTTACTAAGTTCTCAAGGTAACGTCAGAAAATGTTAATGACTATATACTTCTTGCTCAAGCAACAGCTTTAACTCCAACTGAAATCTTAGAATTTTTTTCAAAATACACATTTTGTGCTTTCACTGTTCCCCGGATTCCAAAGTGGTTTGAGTTCCCATGCACCTACATACATACGTACTCATGGGTGCGCCTACTTACGAGTGTGTATGTCAGCTTATCAGGTATTCCCATCACCACGCTGCTACCGCTGATAAGCCCGGCGCCCAGTGCACCACTGCCTGGTCAGCGGGAGAATGGCAAAGCTCTGGCAATTATCACCCACTGCCTCCCGGGAGAGACTTTGGGCCAACATGACCGCCGGACGATGCTCAGTGTCCGCTCTGTGGACGAACCAGTTAGACAGGCAGTTGGCATCGCTTTTGGGGCGTTGATAAGTGCGCACCTCAATTCGCCCACCTCGACGCTTGGTTGTTGTTGCTGTGCGTGCAGTGAAATAAAAATAACATCGCGGGTCTGAAATAAGAAAAACACTCTCGATAAGGAAAGGCGACGCAAAACAGTTGCGCCGCACACTTCGGACCGGGCACAACGCCAATTCGCCACCAGTCCGCTTCGAGCCATTCACCGCAGTGAGCTCACTCCGGCGGAATCCCAGCGCCATGCCCGATAACAGCAATAAGTTCTGCGCCTCCAGCGACGTCCGCATTCCGGCCTGGATCAATGAGGCCTACTTCAAGCGGCTGCTCAAGCGCGAGTTCCGCGAGTTCCGGCGCATCCTCAACCTATCGATCATCCCGGCCACGCCGCCCGGGGAAACCTACACCTCGCTGCTGATGCGCATCGTCATCGACATCGAGTTGAAAGGTGAGGAAAAAGGGGCGTTTAATATAGCACATAAACAAGTCAAATTTGTTCATATAAAAACTTTAACTGCTGCAAGCACTTTGGTATGCAATCGTTGCCAGATAGGTGTTTATCACGCATACGCACTGTTGCCTTTCGACAAAAGTCAAAAGTAATAAACAAACGCTGCCGGCTTGTAAGTAAATATAGAGAGTAGTTACCATTTGATTCAAACCAACTTGCATGGCTGTACATTATTTTGTATCTCAAACAATATGACAACTATTCGATCACTTGATAGATGGATTTTCGCAGCAAAAGTCGTACGTAGTAAAGACCATGCTGGACGACGCCCAGGGAAATGGTGGATTCGTGAACACCCTCAACATATTTCCAAAGGAGAAGATGATGTACGACACGATTATACCTAACTTGGAACAGCTCTACGAGGAGGCTGGACTGAGCGTAAAGTTCGCACCAAGGTGCCACCATGCGGAGGACATCAAGGGAAGGATCTGCCTGGTCCAGGAGGACTTGCAAACGAAGAAGTATCGAAATATCAATCGCCTCAAGGGCTTCGACATGGCCCACATGCAGCGAGTGCTGGAAAAACTGGCGGAATTCCATGCAGCAGGTGCCGTTTGGCGTCAGCGTAAGGGACCATTTCCCGATGATTTTCAGAGGATATACCTACCCGCCAACTACCAGAAATCGAAGTCGTATCAGGCGAGGCTCCAGAGCTACAAAACTGCAATGGCCAGTTGGGGTCTGGCCGATCACGAGCAGTATGTGAGTCGCATTGTAAGTAAAACAATCTCATGGCTATGTTCACATTCAATAACCACGATTCGATGGTTTATTCAAAGCCCACGGCCGATCAATTTGTGCAATCCTACGCCCGCTGCTTCAGCAACAATCCGCAGGAGTTTAAAGTTCTAAATCACGGTGATTGTTGGTCCAGCAACATAATGCTAAGCTATACTCAATCTGGTGATATCAACCAGGTGCGTTTCGTGGACTTCCAGCTGTGCAAGTGGGGTAGTCCGGCTCAGGATCTCTGGGAACTCATCATATGTTCGGCCCGGCATAGCATACGAATACAGAACTTCGACTACTTCATCAGGATATACCACACACACCTAGTGCGATGCCTAAAGATCCTCAAATACGGCGAACGCATGCCAATGTTGAGGGAGCTGCACATGAGCATGATCAAGTACGGATTTTGGGGTATGACCTTAACCTGTGGATCTCTACTTTACATCCATACATTGTACAAAACCCTCGCTTCAGGTTACTTTACCACCTTCACGCACCTGGTCTTCATTCTGCTACCACCGGATACGGAAGCTAGCTTGGTGAAGCTCACGCAGCCGGGGGAGGAAGGAGATCGCTTCCGGTCCAAGGTGTACACAAATCCACTCTACGTCCGCTCGGCGCTCAGCATATTCCCCTTCCTATATAGGCGTGGTATTCTAGACTTTTGAAGCTGTTCAAGTCAGTAACTATGAAAATCGAAAATAAGCGCATATATGGATTTTTAAAGACTAAAAAAGCTATTAAGCAATGAGATTTATTTATATTTTCACTACTTACTCCATCTCGCTTAGACTGCTACTCCTTTTAGATTACAACTAAAGATGTTTCAGCTATCCAAACTATTAAAAGAATAAAGCAAATTTCCAACTCGTAGAAACAGCTTCTTTTAATTTAAATTATAGAAAGGGTGTTAATGCATTCCTGAAGTAAAACCTGTAGAATGTCTAATGTGTTTAGATAAATGCCAACTCGTGGAGCTTATCACAACAGGTGTCTGTATTCAGATCACGTTTTATTTATTCCACATAGCGAAAAAAGTAAAACATCACTAACAAAAACGTTAAATACAATTATAACTCCTCTTTTCCCCACTTAGGTCTATTGACAAAAATGATTTTCGAGTTGTTGTTATCAGGCATAAGTTCCACATTTCTCAACAAACCGGTTGCAGTGCCATAGATTCCACATCCATATATTGTATTATGTACACATAAATCAGCTGATAAGCCAGCGCAAAGCTAACAACAGAGAGAGCTTTGCAGAAGCTCAACCTCTCTGCCAGCCGTCACATGTTTCGCCCCACATTCTTGATTCGATAGCCCCCAGTGTAAGTTGCTGCTCAGCTCGCTGTTTTTATTCGGTGCGGTCAGGTGACTTGGAAAGAAAAAAAAAAAGAAACTACAATGGGAACCGGCAGCAAGAACTACCAGGCTCCGGAATGGCTCACCGCCGAGTTCCTGCAGGATGTGCTGAAAGAGCACTTCAAGGAGGAGCAGCTGGCGGTCACCGAGTTGCTGGTGAAGAGCGCCCAAGTGGGCGACCAGGCGGCGGGATTTGCCAGCGAAATGCATCGGGCCAGTTTCAATCTACAGCGGGGCACTGCACCCAAGAGCAAGTTTGCGGTGATTGTGAAGGATCATCCCAAGGGACAAACGGGTGCGGTGGCGCACAGGAGTAAGCTCTTTAAACGCGAGATTTTGGCATACAAGGAGGTGCTCCCACGTGTTCAGGAGCTGCTCCAATCCATTGGAGATCAAACGAAAATTGCACCCACATGCTACTACACCACGGAATCGCCGGAGCCATTCCTGATTCTGGAGGACATGCAGCTCTCCGGCTTCGAGAACTTCGAGCGCGGTCGCCTGCTGAACCTGGACTACGTACTGCCCACCATCGAGAAGGTCGCCAAGCTGCACGCTTGCAGCGCCCTCATCGCCCAGGAGAGCCCCGAGGTGCTGGAGTTCTTCGACGAGGCGCCCATTTCCCGGAATCCCGACCGTCGCGACTTCCTCACCTTCTTCCCCGTTAACATGCGCTGCGTGGCCGAGGAAGTGGCTCACTGGAAGGGGTACGAGGAGATCACCGAAAAGATGTTCAAGCTGGCCGAGAATGTCCTGCAGAGAGCGCTGACCATGTTCGAGAGCTCTGGCAAGGAGTTCCGCGTCTTCAACCTCACCGATCTGTGGATCAACAATCTCTTGTTCCACATCAACAACGAGACCAAGGAGCCAGACGATGTGGTCACGGTATGTTATTCATGTCATAGAATCTATTGAAAACCACTAAAATGTATATCTTTGTTTACCAGTTGGACTTTCAGTTGGCCTATGTGGGATCCCCAACCATTGATCTCAATTACTTCCTCTACGGATCCTTGAACGAGAATGTTCGTAAGGTGCACTATAAGTTTATAGTGAGGGAATACCAGAGAGTGCTTCAGCAGACCCTGGAAAAGCTGAACTACCAGGGACACATTCCAACTCTCAAGGAAATCCACATCGAGTTGATCAAGACCAGTCTTATGGGTATGACCATTGTTGTAACTTATATAATAAGTTTTTTACAATGACCCCACATTTTCAGGTGTTATTGGCGCCACTTGCCTGACTCCCCTGATCTTCCGGGAGGGAGCTGGTTTCGAGAACCTCGAGGATCTGAACTCGCGCACTGAGAGCGGCGATCGTTTCCGCCGGGAAAATGTCGAAAACCCCAAGTACCGCGCTTTCCTACAGCGAACTATTAAAGAGTTCGAGCTTTCAGGATTCTTGGATGAATAGTATGCACAAGAAGAAAATGATTACGTTACATTCGATCAAAAGTATTCGGGCTTCCACGTAGAGTAAGCTTTCCAGACAAATATTCCATGAGTATTTTTACACCCAAATTAAAGAAAAGTTATTTGATTTGATCAATTTATTATACTAGCGATAACTGAACTTGGAAAACAGTGGACCAATTAGCCATACTTTGTATAGAAATTGTCAACTGATAGATTTGAAAATTCAAAGGCCCTTAAAATATCCAATTTCTTCGTATTTGGGCAAAAGCTTTTTGACATCTTGAACATAGGGGTCGAAGAGGTAGCATTTTTGTCTGATTTCTGGATCTTGAATTAGTTCGTGTATCTTAAACGCATTCGCTTTAACGGCCAGCGTCATTGGCAGAAAAGTGGTTAGAAGGAAAAAGTCTGTAAAAGTATCAAAATGGTTCTACTTATTGAATATAGCTGATAATTAAAATACCTTACCATAAAACTTGTGTCGGTGAATTTGCTTCCAGAGACCATCATTGGTAGGCATCTCGCCCTTGTAGCCCACTTTTTTTAACGTGTCCTCCAGAACCGTGAAATAATAGTTAATGAGATCCTTTCCGAGATCGCAACGCTGCTCCGGCTCCATGAGCATGTACACCGAATAGCATAAATCTACTGTAATGGGACACAGGTTGCAGATTTGGAAATCAATGAACATGACCTCCTCATCATCCTTGAACATCATATTCCGCAGATGGAAATCGCCGTGACACATTACGTAGTATCCATCGGATTGAAAGTTCTTCCGATACTCCTGCAACACATCGCCCATGCGCTGTATGTAGTCCCCTTTTATTTTCTCAAAGTATGGCTTGTACTTTGTAAATTCAGGTATTTGGTCCATCATTTTCAAAAAGTTTTCCATTCCACTAGTGACCATTGGATCCGACATAATAGTTGGCATATCCATCAGGCCATATTTGAAGTCTTTCAAGAGATCCGGTTGCTCATTCAAGACTTTCATGCTAACAGCGTGCCACTTGGCCAGTTTGGAAAACACTTTTTCTAATTCCCTCTGCGTAGTTGGACGATTTCGGATGACGGTGTATCCCTGCGGCACCAGATCCTCGAATATCATCACCTGGCGCGGCTCCAGACTGTGGTAGATGCAGGGCACAAAAAGCTTTGTATCGTCACCTGCCTCCCGAAGAATTCTCTCAAACTCGGGCAGAGCTGTGGTGTAGGCTCTAATCTCGGTGGAGAATAAATGGGTGTCGCTGAGCATATCCTTCTTGTGTCCTTCCTGCTCCGGCATCGTCTTAATAATGAGTGGCTTGCAGAACTTTCCCTTCGAAGTCGTATACTCAGCAGTAGTACGGAACATAACGCTTGCATAGTGATCTCCCTGGGCACTCGCGGGCGTGAATTTAAGATCGGTTACCTTCAGTTCCGGAGACTTCTCGTAGGTCCTCAGAACGTCAGCAATAAACTGGGCATTTAGCCATGCAGGAGCCTCCAGCTCATCGGCATTGAATTGCTCTGTATCTGCGTTATCAGGCATTCTAAGTTCGGGATCTTGGAATCAAGAACTACTCGGAATACTTGCGATCCGGTTATGATGAAATCAAGTAGGTGGGCAGTCATTATAAAGGTTGTCTAAATGAGCTTTCCATAGCGGTTTGAAGCTTTTTAAACGAAACTTTTTGATTTTGTGTGAGATACGACTCGCCGAATATCTTATCATTGGGCATTTGGAGATGTTTTACAGGATAAATACTTCTTGATCACTAGTAACTGGCAAGTCAATCAGATAACTATTCTGGTTTATGGTTATTTTATAGCATCCCAATTAAAAATATTTGTAATATTCGGCAACGCCATCTTGACAGAAAGTGAGTCTTTCTTTTCTTTCCGGGTCCACAAATAAGTCTTTTATTTTAAGTGTATCCGGCAACGCTTCTTTCAACAAGCAACAGGTACGATAATTCTTAGACAACTCCTGGTATTCAATTGCTTATCGTGAATATTCAAGTAACACACCCAGAACAATGATTGTTGCTCAATAAGCATGACTGTCATATGTGCTAAAGGTACAACTATATATGCAAGAAACTTTAAACTTAAATGAAAAGTTTCAATGGCTGTCTGATAATAATGCGTGTTTTTTTATTAGGTGCGAGCATCACTTGATTATAACAACGTTCAGAAGGGTTTTTGTTTAATTTGTAAACAATCGGGTTAAAGATTTTCGAAATATCCCAGTTCTTCGAATTTAGGCAACAGCTTCTTCACATCCGTAAGGTATTCATCCTGAAAGTAAGTCTTTTGCTTTGTTTCCGGATCCGTCAATACATCTATCATTTTGAAAGCATTCGTTTTCATTGCTGCCATCATGGGCAGCATGCTGGTCATCATGAAGAACTCTAGACAAAGTACCAAAGAATAAGCTTAACAGGTTTACCAAAGTTGTAATATTTTAGTCCCCTACCGTAATCCTTATGGCTATGGATATGCTCCCAGATTCCCGTCTGAGTGGGCATTTCACCCTTGAAACCTATTTTTCTCAAAGTCTCCGAAAGAACAGAGAAATAATAATTGATATATTCCTTTCCGAGATCCCAACGCTCCTCCGAATCCATTAGCATGAAGATGGAGTAAATTAGGTCAATGGTAATGGGGCAAGTATTACTGATCTGGAAATCCACCAGCATTACGTCCTCGAAATCACCTGTTTCCTGGTTATTTTTAAACATCATGTTGCGAGCATGAAAATCCCCGTGGCACAGCACGTAGTATCTATTGGGCTTGGGATCAGTGCGGTATTCTTCCATAACTTTGCTCATCTGCTGCATGTAGTTATTCCTTATTTTTTCGAAATACGGCTTATACTTTGTGAGTTCCGGAACCTTGTCCAACATTTTTAAGAAGCAGGGAATTCCAGTGGTCACAATGGGATCGTTCAAAAAGGTGGTCATGCCCCACATACCATGCTTTAGTTCCTTAAGAAAGTCAGGTTGCTGGAAGTGATAACAGCTCACTTAGTTGGTGTTTAGTTAGTGGATGAATGAATAGCTACCTCATTTAAAACCTTCATGCTGGCCGCATGCCACTTTGCCAACTTGAAGTAGGCTTTCTTCAGTTCCTCTTTGGTGGCAAGGCGATCTCGGATGACAGAGTAGCCCTGTGGCACCAGATCCTCGAATATCATCACCTGCCGAGGTTCCATGCTGTGATATATGCAGGGTGCATGGAGCTTGGTCGTATCGCCTGCCTCCCGGAGAATTCTCTCGAACTCCGGTAGTGCTTTGCTGTACATCAGGATCTCCGTTTTGAAGATGGGCGACTGTGAGAGCATATCCTTTTTGTGACCTTCCTGCTCCGGCATTGTTTTGACAATCAGTGACTTGCTGAAATTCCCCTTGACGGTGGAGTACTGGGAAACAGCACGGAACATGATGCTGGCATAATGGTCTCCCTGGAAAGTCGCTGGACTTATTTTCAGATCGGTTACATGCAATTCTGGATCCTTTTCGTGTGCTCTTAGAGCGCCTTCGATAAACTCCGCATTTAGCCAAGCAGGTGGATCCAGCTCATCCGCATTATATTGCGTCGAATCTACGTTTTCCGTCATACCTCCAGCCACTTTGCAAGCTTTTACTATACTGACTGCGGATCGTTTGAGTTTTGGGGAGTGTTATTGGGGCCGCTCATTTCATTCCATTCTCATTAAAGATAACAAATTGTCAAAGCTTTTTTGGCTTTGTGCGGAACAAGTATATTTTTGTTACAAGAGCCAAGTTAATATACGAAAGCTATCTGCGTAATCATGACAGTCGTTTCTTTGAAATATCTGAAGCTTAACAAGTTAGAAAGCTTCTAACGAAACCTATGCATAATAACGCCAAGTCATGATGTGAAGCAAAATTAATTTGAGAAATAAAACAAGATAGAATGCTATAGTCGAGTTTCCCGACTATCAGATACCCATTTATCAGCTAGTGTAAGTGCAAACGTGAAATTCCAACATTTTCTGGAAATAAATAAATATGCTATATAATGCTATAGTCGAGTAACGGGTATAATGAATGACAATAATTTATTTTAAGCCGTTTTACACAAACAATAGGTGCTTGCACATGAATGTAAAAAAAAAGTTATTATTTATACCAAAATTGTGTAAGTAGTGGCAAAATACTTACCTTGAATTGCCACTTAAGAACATTTTACAATTAGTACTAAAAAATATAATAACTGATAGTGATGAGTTTTGTGCAAACATCAGAATCAATTCTTAGTTAAGCAACGATAGTGTTACTCTTTACTCGTATGCATTTTACATTTTAATCTGAAGTGCTGATTATTACATGGTACTACTATTACATAAATCAGACGCAAAGCTTAGATTAGGGGATTTAATCATAGATTATTAAAGTATCCTAATTGTTCGAATTTCGGCAAAAGCTTAGATACATCTTTAACATAGGTGTCTAGGAAGTAGGACTTCTGTCGGGCCTCAGGGTCTTGGATACCTTCATGCATTTTTAAATCGTTTGATTTTACGCCCACCATCAGAGGAAGAAGGGTGCTTATCAAAAAGAAATCTGAAATGTATTAGAATATGGTGTTACTGCTAAATTTTTCTTTTCTCACTTGACTGACTCTCTTACCAAAATACTTGTTATTCTGTATTTGCACCCACAATTCACTTTGGGTAGGCATATTACCCTTGTATCCAATTTTCCTGAGGGTGGCGACCAAAACCGAGAAATATCCATTGATCAGGTCCTTTCCCATTTCCCAGCGCTGTTCCGGCTCCATCAGCATATAGATGGAGTAGGTCAAGTCCACTGTAATGGGACACAGATTGCTGAACTGGAAGTCCACCAGCATCACGTCATCGAAGGCTCCCAACTCCTAAACATCATATTCCGAAGATGGAAGTCACCGTGACACAGGACGTAGTAGCGATCGTTCCGCCGATACTTGTGATATTCATGCATCTCAACCTTCAGGCGTTGAAGGTAATTGTCTTTAATTTTTTCGAAGTGAGGCTTATACTTCCTTAGCTCCGGAGTTTGGTCCAGCATTTTAATAAAGCTTGCCATGCCAGTTGTTACAAAAGGATCAGTATCAATAGTGGGCATTTCGAACAGGCCATACTGGAATTCCTTTAGGAAAGTTGGTTGCTGATGGCAAATAAGTTGTTAAAAGGATATTTGTCACACAACCAATGAAACTTACCTCATTGATGACTTTCATGCTGACCGCATGCCACTTGGCCAGCTTGTCGAAGGCCAATTTCAGATCCCCCAGTGAGGGAGGACTATCGCGGATGACGGTGTATCCTTGTGCAACCAGATCCTCGAATACCATCACTTGCCGCGGCATCAGACTGTGATAAATACAGGGCACGTACAGTTTGGTATTATCCCCTGCTTCTCGGAGAATCCTTTCGAATTCTGGAAGAGCATGGCAGTACATTCCGATTTCCGTTGCGAATAAATGCGATTCGGCCAGCATGTCCTTTTTATGTCCTTCCTGCTCCGGCATCGTTTTGATGATCAGCGGCTTGGAGAACTTTCCCTTCGGAGTTGTGTACTCCACTTTGGTGCGGAACATAATGCTGGCATAGTGATCTCCCTGGGCAGTTGCAGGTGAAACCTGCAGATCGGTTACTTTAAGATCCGGGAGTTGCTCATACTCGCTCAGAATTCCACCGATAAACTGAGCATTTAGCCAAGCTGGCGCCTGAAGTTCGTCTTCATTAAATTCTATATTTTTGCTTTCCATTTCGGAAATTCTTCAGGTTTTGTTAGATCAGGGGTACAACCGTTCCGTGAGCTCTACAAACTATCAGTAAAATAAGTCAGTCAAACGACGACCATCTTAAATAAAACCTGAGGAGCTTTTTTTTGAGCTTTTGAAGTGGTTATAGAAATCATTATTAAGGTATAGTTTCACAATTTCAATTGTTCATCAAACTGCTTAATCTTATCATGTCTTCTATTAAACTTCACACAACAGTTTTTAGGCATTCAACTTGGGGGGTCAAACAATAACCAATGTTATCGTGTCCTTGCTGGGAAAAACATTTCCGTTTCCTGTTCCAGTAATATTTTAACAAAATTTACCTTTTTTAGGTATTTATATATTTAAACTTAAGAGACTTGAATACATAAATATGTATAAAACAATAACAAAATGGGTGTAGGCGGTATAAACAAAACAAGAGAAACACATTTATAAAAATAAATCATAACTATAGACCTTTAAAGTAGCCCAGTTGCTCAAATTTGGGCAATAGTTTGGAAACATCTTTTATGTATGTATCCAAAAAGTACGTTTTTTGACGGGTTTCCTGATCCTGGATGAGGTCTTTCATTTTGAAACTATTCGATTTGATGGCCAAAATCAAGGGCAAAAAAGTGCTCAACAAAAAAAAATCTAAAAGTAAATTAGGGAGCACATTACTTAATTGTTTAATTTTTCACAATTCGTTTTCAGATGAGTGCCTAACTTACCATAATACTTGTTCCGATGCATCTGCTCCCAGAGTTTCGCTTGGGTTGGCATTTCACCTTTGTATCCAATTTTCCTGAGTGTAGCTACCAATTCTGTATAATAGTAATTAATCAAGTCCCTTCCCATTTCCCTGCGTTGTTCCGGCTCCATCAGCATATAGATGGAATATGTTAAGTCAATTGTGATGGAAGTGAGGTTGCTAATCTGGAAATCCACCAGCATGGTATCCTCGTGGGCTCCCGTCTCCTTATTGTTCTTGAACATCATATTGCGAAGATGGAAGTCGCCATGGCACAGGACATAGAAGGCATCGCTCTGCCGGTTTTCATGGTATTCCTGCATCTCAGCTTGCAGTCGTTGTAGGTATTTATCTTTTATCTGTTCGAAATGAGGCTTATACCTTCTTAGCTCTGGCAATCTATCCAGCATATCAATGAAACTCTGCATGCCAGTCGTTATAAAAGGGTCATTATGTATAGTGGGCAGGTCGAATAGGCCATATTTAAACTGCTTCAGAAACTCAGGTTGCTGGTGGGTAAAAAACTTGTTAGAAATATGAAACTCTAATGATTCATTGAGTTAATCTCACCTCCTTTATGAATTTCATGCTCACTGCATGCCATTTGGCCAGTTTGGAGAAGGCTGTTTTGAGCTCCTCCTGAGCAACTGGACGGTCTCGAATGACATAGTACCCCTGCGGCACCAGATCCTCAAATATCATCACCTTACGCGGCTCCAGGCTGTGGTAAATGCAGGGCACAAATAGTTTGGTATTATCCCCTGCTTGCCGCAGAATCCTCTCAAATTCCGGGAGAACCTGGCAGTACATCCCGATCTCGGTTTCGAACAGATGCGACTCGCTGAGCATGTCCTTCTTGTGTCCTTCCTGCTCGGGCATCGTCTTGATGATCAGTGGCCGACTGAACTTGCCCTTCGAGGTGGTACACTCCGCAGTTGTACGGAACATAACGCTGGCATAGTGATCGCCCTGGAAACTCGCGGGTGTGATTTTTAGATCGACCACTTTCAGTTCCGGGGCATCTTCGTACGCGCTCAGAATATTCTCTATAAATAGAGGATTCAGCCAAGCCGGTGCCTCCAGTTCGTCGTCGTTGAATTGTTCCGCATCTAACTTGTCGGTCATTTTGCTTGCTGTTGCACAATCCACTAGCTAATTGCACTACGACTGTTCTGACTGGCGTTGTAGTTTATTATGGCAAACCCGATCACCGACGTGCCTTATTTAAAGCAAAATGCTTGAGCTTTCTAAAGGCTTTGGTCAAGCTTTACGTATACACCACCACCCACTCTTCAATATTCAAGCGGAACTTATAAGGTGGGGCTGATCTAGCGTCAACGAATAAATATAAAAAGTTATCATTAGTAATCTTTTATAAGCAATTGCACCTTTGGAGATCTTTACTTCGCTTCTTCATCTCACTAAGTACTTAGTTAAAACATAAAATGATACCAAATCAAAGTTGTGTAATACGTACACTTAATGATTCTTTTTGATTATAATAGTTTTTGCTGATTAGATCGCGTTCAGAATGTCCCATCCAACGAAGTGACGTAAGGTAAACAAAAGCCTCGATATTGATATACGGTTTTTTATTATAAGTGGTAAATAGAATGTACTTTATAATTGTGACTATAATATCTTATTTCTATTCTATTGCTAAGTCCTTCGCATATTTTGCTAGTTAATACTACATAGCACAGGTAAAAGGTCACTGATCGATATCAAGCAGACCCTCTGCCTCGAAACCGGGCAACAGTTCCCGCAAGACTTTCTGGGCGATTGGGTTCCTGCAGCAGGCATCCTTGAAATTCATGGCCCGCTGGTTGGTCTCCATTAGGGCATTAAAGTCGGCATCAGCGGTCTCCACGTTTCGCTGAATCGGAAATACGGAAATGGATGTGTGGGCAGCTGGAAATCAGGAGAGGAATGCGCCAGTTAGCATCCGTAGGTTATAAATGGTTTCATCTTAACTCACCGTAGAATTTCTTCTGCTGCAATTGCTGGTGGAACTGATGCAAGCTGGGAATTTTAGATTGGTACTGCAGTTTTTTCAATGTATCCGCGAAATAGCGGAAATAGTAAGCAATCAGCTGCTCCTGGTGGTTCTGGTGAAGATCGAACTCCAGCGAGGTGTTCAAGAAGTAGAACAGATCAATGGCCGGCGATCCCCAGGCCGTGTATTGAAAATCAATGATAACCACGTCAATTGGCTCTCCGGTCTGATTGTCATACTTAACCAGCACATTATTGGTCCAAAGATCTCCGTGGGCCAGGACATTGATGTGTCCGGGACTAATGTCGAAGATTTGTTTGCCCAGTTCCATGTAGATGGGCACCAGTGCCTCCATCTTCTCCGCGTACTTCTCGTATCCTGGCCACTGAGCCACACGGCGAGTGGCCGCCTGGAACATGCCAACAAATGCCGGTTCGTAGTTATCGGTGTGCCGATTAAAGAACCCGCGATCGTAGCTCTCCAGGATGTGATTCTCGCGTTCGTTCAGCACCGCCGAAGTGGCATGCATCTTGGCCAGCTTACGGAGCACAATACGTGCTAGCTTTTGGTCCAATCCGACCAAGCGATCCGGCATTACAAAGCCACGGGCATTCAGATCCTCAAAAATCAGCGCCGAGTTATCTATATCCACCGCCATGGTTTCCGCAAAGATCTGCTCCGCATCGCCGATCTCCCGGAGGAGAGCCTTCTGCTTGGGCAAAACCTGCTCGTAGATAACCATCTCTCGATTGAAGATGTCGTACGGCTTCATGGCGTTCTGGGCAAACTCATTCCCTTCAAAGGTGGACTTCACAATGTAGTGACCCAGTTGGGAGCTACCATCGCTCCGAGTGAACTGAGCCTTCACACGGGTGAGGACTCCACCGTAGTTTTCACCCTTGCCCAAGGCAGGCTTCATCTGGACCCAATTGATCCTGATGCATTGATCCTTGTAGTACTTGCGCAGGGCATCCTGCAAATAGCTCCCTGTCAACCATTCAGGAGCATCCAGGAAAACCGAACTTTGTTCAGGAACAGGAGACTCGGAAGCGATGAGCTTGGGAATGGCATCAAGGGCACCAATCAGATCCGAAACCGACATATTGAAAGTGATCTTTTACTGTACGACTTGTGAATGAGATTGTGCCTAAAACTCGCAGAACCGCCGCTTTTATGGCGAAAATTTAGACGCTGTCAACTGTTCCCACAGCTCCTAGATATGAACCCGTATATATCCGAGGGCCCTCCGTCACAACTGTGATTAATATAACCATAAAATCACAGATTTTTTAGCTGTGAACGTGGGCACTCAACGGGCGTACAGATTACACTTTTTATTGCCTCCAGTCGGCAATCTAAATACCCAGATTCACCTCTCGCGCCATGGCTACCGCCTAATTGTGAATTGTTTAGGTTTGCCAAAGGCAAGCCAGTTAATCTTTATAGCACCTGCTGTCGGTTTAGGGCTGCAGCAGTACTCATGTGTGCATTTTAGTAATTAAAGTAACTCGCAAATGCTAAACGATTCCCAGCCATATCATTCCAAAAGCGAGTGATTCGTGTAAATGCGAACGTCAAAAACTGGCTGAAATACGCAAAAAGGTACTTTTTACAAAATGATAGACTTTACTCATAATCTTTTTGAAGAGTTCATTAGACTCAGAGCTGAGGTTACCAAGCGCTCTGATTTACTTTCTGTTTAAATGCTATATCTATACCACCCAATACTATACTATACTACACGATATCGAATCATTATTGTTATCCTATAATTCTTTGTTTTTAGTTACCTTTATTTAATTTCGTATTGAAAATAAAATGGTGGATGTATATGCATTTCCCACAACTAACTTAATAACATTTTTATTCAGTCTGATTATCTTAATTTGGCTTGGTAAACTTTGTTGGCCTACACTGATAAACTACGTTTACTTTGTCTAGGTACATAAAAATGAGTTTCTAAAATATTTCTCAATGGTTTATAGCTTCCCTAAAAAATTAAGTGAGTACTAGTTTTAATGCATCAGAGCTTAAACATGAATTTACCAATGTTTTAATATTTATGTTAGGCCATGCTTTTTTAAATTGTATCACTTGCTTAGAGTTATCAGACTTGTACTAAAATATTCCTCACAAATGTTGCAATTTGACTTATACGTCCGTATAGATATTAAAACAGTTACTAAGGGAGTCTAGGCAAACATAAAGGTATGTCTTAGTAGTTGAATCCACAATGTAAGTCGTAAGCTCTGCGATAAAAAATCATCTCAAGTAGAAAGTGTGGAAATTGCCCCTTTAAAAACGCCTTACATAAGTCAATGAATGCAGTCGATTGCTAAATTATGGTGATGAATGGGTCTGCCCGTGATAAGTCCAGCACAAAAATTGAAACGGAATAAAAAGATGAGCCCTAGTCTTACAATTTCTATTCCGCCAGACCCAGGCGAAGTGGGAACTTTCCTGGGATTTCGAGTATCTTAATGATGCGAACGGTGGGCGTCTGTGCCCCGCATATAAATCCAAAGATACTATATCTGCTCCAGGCGCAGTTCAGCAATCGCACGATTCTTGGCACACGATACACATATTTGAGACCTGTTGCCACATGGAGGTAATCCCAGGCCAAACATCCCAGGCTTGTTTACCCATAAAAGCCCAGAGCTTCAACCAAAGTCAGAAGAAATGGGATTTGAAAAAACTCAGATAGCTGCACAGAGCCAAAAAGGAAAAATGGAACACTCTTACATTAACCAAAGTAAGTGGTAAGTGTTGACATCTAAAAGACACATTCAAGAGTATGAGTGCTAAGGACATGTTTATTATTTCAAGTTTATTGAAGTGTTTCGCTTAAGACAGAGGTATTTCTCCAAGTGCAGCACAAGATCACATACAAGGCGAAGCTAAGTGCGCTGTGACAAGTGTGCGTCATTTGGGGGTAGTACGAGTATAAAAGCAGTCGGTCATCACGGCTCAGTCAGAGAAATAGAAGCAACTTAACAGGATGGCAGCGGCACCCGAGTGGCTGACCCACGACTACATCGAGGATGCACTTCGCTCCCACTACAAGGATGAAGGACTAACCATAACGCAGCTGCAGATTAATCCCGCCCTGGGACCTGGTGAAAACTACGGCGGGGTTCTGACCCGCGCTCGAGTGGAATTCACACTGGCCAACCAGGAGAAAAATATGCAGAACCTGATTGTGAAGACGGAAATCGATGATGACGCGTTGACCCAGGAGCTGATGGCTCCGTATGACATATACAACCGAGAGATGACCATCTACCAGGATGTGCTGCCCAAATGTAGGGAGCTGCTTAATGAAATCGGAGATACTGAGAGGATATTCCCCACCGCCATCTACGTGGATCGCGAGCGTATGGCTATTATCTTTGAAGATCTTTCCGTGGCGGGTTATGTAATGGCCGATCGAGTGCGTCGCCTCAACGAGGAGCACACCCACCTCATCCTCCGGAAGTTGGCTAAATTCCATGCCGCCACTGCGGCGTTAAACGAGAGGCAAAATGGGTGTCTCGAGAGCTACGATCGTGGCTTCTTTAATCGCTATACAAACGCCTATAGTGGCTACTTTGTGGGTGGTCTTCTGGCCGCCGCCCGCTGGATGAGCAAGGTGCCCACGCTGGCCCACTACGGAGAGAAGCTGTTTGCCTTGGCCCCGCACTACATGGACATCGGCAGGGAGTGCTTTGCACCCACGCCAGGTCAAGTGAATGTCCTGGCCCATGGCGATGTGTGGACCAACAATGTGATGTTCAAGTACGATCCCAGTACGGGACGACCAGTCGATGTGCTGCTCATTGACTTCCAGTACTCCTTCTGGGGCTCCCCCTGCATCGATCTCCATCACCTGTTCAACACTTCGCTGAAGGAGCCACTCCGTAGAGATCAGCAGAATGGGCTGTTCCAGTTCTACCACAAGATATTCACAGAGACGTTACGAAAGCTCAACTACCGTCAAAATCAGATTCCCAGCTTGCATCAATTTAAGTTGGAGGTGGAGCAAAAGAGATTCTTTGGTAAGTGGTACATATAATCACAAGCTTTAGTTGCTTTTCAAAAACTATATATTCTTCACAGCTATGCATTCTACGGTAGTGGTGCAGCCAGTTATGATCAGCCAGGATCCCACGGATGCCTGTTTCAATGCCTTGATGAACGATGATGAGCGTGGCACTCGGTTTAA